TACTTGGCTCCAGATAATTTTCAACATCAGGAGTACGTACTCCTTATTTGTTCTGATTACACAACAGGAGTAGTGAAACACCTTAAGTGTACATTTAGATTACTGAATGGAAATTAATGGAGTATCAGTAATCTTGTTTCGTTTCATATATGTACCACAACATTGCTACTCTTGTGTAAACAGGTCAATAAACAATAAAACAATACTTTTTCAGATAAATATGCCTGTAAGTGATTCTAAGACCCTACACCATTGCTGTGGTGCGTATCTGCTACATTTTCTATATTACTTCCTACTGTATCGTGCATATTTGTTGTCCGTACAAACGCCGATACGGCCCTTATCTGGAGCCCTGCAGATTATAGAGAACTGGGAAATTTATTCCCTACATCGTCAGTTTACGACGAGCGAATGTTGTCCGTCATTTTGGATTCGCCCATGTATATGCACACATTAATATACGTCATTCAGTCATACATGGTTTGAACTATACATAAGGGACTGTTCATAATTTATGGCTTGGGGGTGGTGGGGGGTGGTGGTGGTGACGATTTTTATGGAGAAGCATGTACAATGTGAATGACCCCCTAAAATTCATGTAATTCCCATATATTCTAAACATAGTTTTAAACATAATTTTATCCCCCGTACGTATGTACTAAATTGCTAACACCCCCCCAAAAAACCAAAAACAACCAAAATGGTGACCCTTAAAATCTTTTCTCTTTCATTGCTCTGGATTTTATTAAGAAATGAGTAAGTGAGTTTAGTTTTACACCGCACTCAGTAATAGTCCAGCTATATGGCGGTGGTCTGTAAATAATCGAGTCTGGACCAGACAATCCAGTGATCAGCAGCATGAACATCAATCTATGCATTTGGGATACGATGATATGTGTCAACCCAGTCAGCGAGCATGACCACTCGATCTCGTTAGTCGCCTTTTACGACAAGCATGGGTTACTAAAGATCAATTCTAACCTGGATATTCGCGGGTCTTTATGAAATGAAAATTAGTTGGCTGGTTTGTTGTTTAACGCCGCACGCAGCAATATTCCAGCTATATGGCGGCGGTCTGTAAATAATCGAGTTTGGACCAGACAATCCAGTGATCAACAGCATGAGCATCGTCCTATGCAATTGGGATACGATGACATTTGTCAACCAAGTCAGCGAGCCTGACCACCCGATTCCGTCAGTCGCCTCTTACAACAAGCGTAGGCTGCTGACGGCCAATTCTAAACCGTATCTTCATGGGTATAAAAATGAACATTGTGGAAGGAAGAACTTGCAAGGACGCTGTGAGGTCACTTCGATCTTTGTTCGAGTCGAAAACGAGCAACAAACGGCATTTTATTTTGCCTAACGACGGTGTTTACCTTTCCCCGAATAAATGATGAGTCATCGCCAATTATAACCTCCTTGAGTGTAGACTTACGTCTGTGGGATCTTGCTGTAGGTCATCGAGTATACCAGCGTCATCATCAGCCATCTTGTTTTCACTCCAGCAGCAATTACCATCAGTACTTCAAAGGCTCCACGAAGCGCCTCCAGCCGGCAGAGCATGTTCCTGTGATAGATTCGTGTGATGTCCCCACATTGCCCCTGGAACTACCACGCCCCGAGTTGCTCAACAGTCCGATATTACAGATCACACCAAGTCTTTGAAGAATAGCCAGACATTATATATGAAATTCAAATAATATCCAAGAAAACAATCAAGACATTTAATTGAATAATGAATATACATGGATTGTCTTTTATTGAGATGAGTTGACTTGCCTTTGCGTATGTTTGTCACCGTATGCGACAGGATACAATCACTATTCATGATGCATCATTGACACGAAGGCACAGCCTTTGTCCCTGTTGATTAATAGATAGATTACAAAACGAGTGGGTGTTGAATACGGAAGATATTCCAACGAGATATTTCAAAACGTTTGATTTATTCACAAGCGAAAGTTTAGTGATCTATTCACTACACACAGGACGGGAAAACAGTGTATTCAAAGAACCAACATCAAGCAAACGATGCCGGATTTAAACAAACAGGAAGGGAGATGACTTTGTCACGACTACTTAAAAGATGAAAATGAGTGAGTGAGTTTAGTTTTACGTCACACTCAGCAATATTCCAGCTATATGGCGTCGGTCTGTAAATAATCGAGTCTGGACCAGACAATCCAGTGATCAACAGCATAAGCCTCGATCTGCACAATTGGGAACCGATGACATGTGTCAACCAAGTCAGGAAGCTTGAGCACCCGATCCCGTCAGTCGCCTCTTTCGACAAATATGGCCTACTGAAGATTATTTTTTCACGGGTCTGATTTAAACTGTGCATAAATCAAATAAGGTGTTAACTTCCAAGTTGGTGGAGGGGCTGAAGTGACACAGATTTTGCTATTGATAAGTTAACTTTATATAGAATTTTGCAATAACCGGCAATTTATAGAGCATTTGTAATGACTCATTTATAATACAAACAAGGTGAATGCTGAATGCCTACAAACAAGACACACATGTTGATTCATTTGAAATTAAAATAAGGTCAAAACAAACAACTGTAAGACCAAATACAACAGAAGAGACGACAACTATCACTGTTGTTTATTCAATTTGATTGGTCATTATCCACCATTTCTCCACAATACTGCAAAATCTCAGACATGACAAACAATGTACATGTACCAGTACATCATCTATGCATGCCATACATTTAATTTTCCATTTCTGAAAATACTTTAAATAAAGATTCTCAGTCAAACATTTCAGTTTATAACCAGAAATCCTTTCAGATCTGTGCTCCTGAGGTCAGCCATTTTTGTGACCTTGACCTTTCCTCCCCACATTTCATTGATTTCAATCTGTAATTTATAACTGAATTTAGAAAAAATCTTTATTTGTATATAATACCTGGAACCAATCAGAGGTCAGTGGAGGTCATTATCATGTGACCTTTGACCTTGGTCATAATTATCAATTGTTTCTGATTATTGCACTTCAGACATATTCACACATCCACTGATGAAAGTTTCAGCAGAGGTCAGCCAAGTGACCTTTGACCACTATTGCTGTTCAAATCGATTTTATTTGTCTTCTGTCAGAGACTGTTCAAAAGCCATCAGCATCATGTATGTCCATGTTATTGTGTGGAAACTATCAGGTAATGGTGGAATGTACATGGCACACCACTGGCTGGATTCTGACCAGGTGAGGTAATCATATCATGCTCCACAGTAAGCATAATTATCTCCAAACATAGAAACAAATGGATATATCACGTTGTGAGATAGAACACAGACAATAACATACACAGAAATAATATAAATCAACATGGTTGCATGTAGCATATAAGTATTGCTTAAAAAATATCAGTATTAACTAGTAGAGCAATAAATAAGTTATCAATATAGAGAACTGATTAATGTATGTTGTAAGTAAATTATCAATATTGAGAATTGATTGATGTACATTATCAGTAAATTATCAATATAGAGAATTGATTGATGCATAACGCTTCATGAATCTTCAATCAGACAAATTGCTGATTGTTTCATGAACTCTAAACATAACAAAAATATACATTCCACATCATTTATCATGTTTAAAATAAAGTAAATTTGTGTAGCACAAATGCAATCAAATATAATTTAACAAAACAATCAATTAAATACATGTACATACAGCATCGTGAAGACTTCATCCACACAGAGAGGTGAACCATATCATATAAAGTGTTGGTCAGGTGTAAATCTTGAAAGTGAGGGAAGCAAGTTCTGGAATTTCTCCCTGTATGTGTGTATGTACAATGTTACTGTATTTGGTTCTAGGTTGTACTGATCAGTACTAATAAATGGATATTCGCTCATTATAAAAATATTACACTCTTTTGAAATGAGGTATTATCAATAAATATTCCATGTTCCTTGAACTTCAAAATGCCAATCAAAGACTTCATATCCGAAACACATGATAACATTTGGCCAGGAATTGAGTATTTGTTGATGGCATTCCTGAGTCCTGACCTTGAAGGTCAGACATGAAGGTCACAGGAGGCCAATGGTTGATGGGGTTGATGTCATCAACCACGCTGGACATCGATGACACAGTGTATGAAATAAGCCAAAAATCCAGCCAGACATATAAATGGATTTAATCAGACCAAATAGGCTGTATTTACTCAGTTGTATGGAACATCTAAAATATTTACCAGACCATCGGGCTGGCTAGCTAGCTGTAAATTTAGACCGTCCGTCAGAAATCTAGACCATCTCGGTCGGTCGGACGGGCCTTATTTCATACACTCGATGACAATTACACAATCATATCCAAATATCTTGCATTGAATGCTGCATGTAGTCAAGGTCCGTCTGCTCTCATCTGAAGGTCAGATGTAGCATCTTTGTCTGTGAACTATGTACAAAATCTTGCCTGCTAATTTGACCTTGCGTGTAATTGTGAGGTAGATTCCTGGAGGTCCCAGGCCACTCCCTTGCATAGCTGGCATCAACAATGTAGACTCATCCTGATTACCTCCAGCACAACTGACTGATCCAGAGTGAGGAGGACTCATCCAGACACCCCTTCACTACTGTGGACTCATCCAAACACCCCTTTACTACCGTGGACTCATCCAGACACCCTTTCACTACTGTGGACTCATCCAGACACCCTTTCACTCCAGTGGATTGATCCTGACACTCCTTTACTATGGTGGACTCATCCAGATCACCACATTTGATTCACCCCTTCAATGTTGGCAGTCTTCATGTAAGACTTTCCTCAACCTGAGTAGCATGGGGCGACAGTATTGGGAAACAGCTGACCCCCCATGTGCAGATGTCCATGCTGTCACCTATCATGAAACCTGTCATGATATTGAGAGAGGTGAGATCTGTTCAGTAATGGAGGCGAGTAGTCTGGCCTCGGAATGTACACTCCTCTTGTCATGTAGGTTGTGGGTCCTATCTGATCTGGACGTCGGAAGGCAGGGTGTCTCTCAACACCCATCTGTAGAAATGTGAACAGAGACATGTAAGACCTTCTCACAATCCCTGGTCCCCACATTTTATCACCATCTTTTTCTTTCGATATTGCTGTTGGTTAGTATAAAACTTAACATCCTCCACCATAGATAATAATTTGACAAAGATTTTCATTTATGTGAAAAAGGAAACAATTATGAACAAAAGTATTTAATTCTGAACAAAAACTTTATTCATTTTATTTGAAAATACCATGAATAATATTGTTTCTTCATCTTCACTGTTATTAATAAAATGTTTGGAACATCCTGCTAATACTTTTCACTATCTCGTAACCATGGTAACTCACACTAGCTACTGAAGTCTACAAAGACCCAAGTGTCCTGCAAGAGATAGACAAGCTTGTGTTAGCATGCAGAGGATTAGTACAGAAACAAGCCATGCTGATATCTCAGTAAGAACTGGTTACATTTACACTATATTGTACAAACATATGATGATGATGATGATGATGATGATGATGATAGATATTTTATTGTCTAAAAGTTGACACATCTTAGGCCACTTTCCAGCAATATTCCTGAAACAAACCGAGTCCGGACCAGACAAACCAAAGGTTGATATGAGCAATGAACGAGGTCACCACAGGTCGCTGGGGACCTACTACAATTACTACGGGGCTTAAGTAAGTTGGTCCAGAGTAATGTCAGCATTACAAGGCCTATAAGACTACATACCCAGAGAAAAACAAACATCTGGCAGCCAGGCCAGTGAAGACATTGTTTACTCTGACGTAAACAGAGTAATTATCAGATGTCACTATGATAAACTGCACTGTTTCAGAATTTCTAGGACACTATGTATTCATGAAAAGTTCAATCATTTTTTCGAGGGGCAGTAAATTGCAATTGATGTACATTGAAATAGGGTATGTAGTAATTTTCTCCATTCATTTATATTAATTGTGTCAAAAGGTCTACACTAGCCATGCCCACAGTGAATGAACAAATAAAGAGAAGATGATATTAATAGACATTTGACATATGCTCCTGTTAAATCTTCAGGTAGTGTTGGGTATTAATGATGTTGAAAAAGAGGAAAGGAAAGGAGACAACTCGGTATAACCATAATTAAAGGGAGACAACAAGTTATCATCATAACTAAAACAGGATAACGTGGCATCACAACAAATAGAGGGAGGCAACTGGGTATCACCACAACTAAAGGGAGGCAACTGGGTATCAACACAACCAAAGGGAGGCAACTGGGTATCACCACAACTAAAGGGAGGCAACTGGGTATCACCACAACTAAAGGGAGGCAACTGGGTATCACCACAACTAAAGGGAGGCAACTGGGTATCACCACAACCAAAGGGAGGCAACTGGGTATCACCACAACCAAAGGGAGGCAACCGGGTATCCCCACAACTTGAGGGAGGTATGAAGGATGTGATTTGTTTATTTATTGTTTATCTTTTGGACATTAAATGCTGTAATCATTCACAAACTGACTTTAACAAGATGTCAACTGAAAGAAATAATGTTTGCTCTTTCAGTTCTATCCATTGTGCATAGGCAAAGAATGAATCAAAACCTTGGTGCTGTTGAAAAAAACACCTTAGTGGTAAGATCTTTGTAAGCCTATTTAAGGTACGGGAGTTAAGATCACCTGAGCGCTTTGTAAAAAAACACCAAGGGCTTTGTGAGGTTTAAAACTGCTGAGGAGAGAATGTGCAGGCGTGCTAGCTTGATGTGGGAGGTAAGTCTACAGCGATGCAGGCTGTAGATGTGCAGAACTGTAAACATGATGAAGGCAAAACAGGAATTGTCACAAAACCAGACACATCTAGGGAATGCTATTCAGTGACTGGATACCTTAGAGTGAGTGAGTGAGTGAGTGAGTTTAGTTTTACGCCACACTCAGCAATATTCCAGCTATATGGCGGCAGTCTGTAAATAAGCGAGTCTGGACAAGACAATCCAGTGATCAACAGCATCAGAATTGATCTGCGCATTTGGGAACCGATGACATGTGTCAACCAAGTCAGCGAGCCTGACCACCCGACGCCGTAAGTCGCCTCGTACGATCAATATTCTAACCCGGACCTTCACGGGTCAGATACCTTAAAGACAAAGCCACATGTACTGACTAAAACAAGGATTTTCATCACAGTGCACTGGTCATAAAGATGCCCAGATGTGTTGGATGAAATGACAAAACAAAACAAAATGGGATAACAAAATCACTACATCTGCGTGAAAATTTTCCCATGCGAAATATTCAAGTAATTATGAGGAATAGCACCACTTGTGCACCTAATGGTTCCAGATTGTTTATGAAGATCAAAACAGGTTGATATTTCAACTATTTTGTTACCATACTGCTCTTTTAAATTTCAGAAGAATACCAAACCATACTTTCTCAAAACTACTGTCTTCAATAATGATAAATCAACTTGTAATTTATATATAAAAGACAACATATAAATAACCCTTGACCTCAAATTTACGAATGATAATTCCGAGTGGGTTTAGTTTGTACCCCTCAACATTTGGTTAAAAGTGTATGTATTGGCTCAAAAGAGATATACTAGTAAACAAATTGCAATATGTAACTATGAATAATGGTTTCTCGATGCGAGCATGCCCTAATATGACAGATATGGAATGTTGTAGGAAACATGCACACTGCACACTGCACACGACACACGACACACGACCCTGACCTTGTTAATTCACATCCTTGAGGAAGCAGCAGGAGAGACAAAGCATTACATAGAGAGCAGCTCAAAAAATTCAAAGCCGGATACAAAAATAATTCCTTAAGTTTTGAGACATACCCAATCCATTCCAAGTTTAAAACATTGTGAAAATGTTAATATCCTCAAAGTGGATCCTCTGTGCAATGATTCATGAAGGTGGTGATAAGGTTGAGAATTGGCTCCTTTACTCAATTATTTCGATAATATTATCACAGTGATGCGTTTCAGTTTCACAGCAGAACTATGACAAATACAGCTGTTTTTATCAACTTGAACTGAAATTCGGCTGAAAAGTTGATTAATGTCTGATGGAATACCAGCAACTCCAAACTTGAGGAATTAAGATCTTTACCAGAGATCCAATCTTTGATCTGCAGCCTTGAAGGTTAGGTAAGCAAGAAGAGAGTGACAGGAACCGGTAACTATGAGAACCAGACAAAGCAGTGGTAGATAGCAGGAAGAACAATCCAGGACGTCTGATGAGACGAGACACATCTATATCACACACAGCTACCACCAAATCCTCATGCTAGCTAGCTGGTTCCTGCGACCAGTATTGGGCATGGAGGGGCTGGAGTAAGTGTTCTAGAATATTGTCTTCTGATCCGAGAGAAAAATCACAACTACTAAGATTCACTGTCAAATAACATCAGTGGCTATCAGATGCCAGCTGATATCACCAGTCTAAAACTGTGAGATATATACCCCCGGCACTAGGCGACCTCCCTTCAAAAAAACTTTAATCTAGGTACGAAAAGACTAGTAATAACTACTTAAGATTTCACTAAGTATTTACCAAAACTAAGAGCAGAAAAAAGTTCAAAACTTCAATGTTTATGCCAAAAGGGTTCTCCTTCAGACTAGTAATAAATACTTTAGACTTCTGATGTCTTTTTCAGGAGTATTTGAAAATATGATTCCAACTTTCAGTGTTTATGCCAAAACGGTTTCTCTTTGAGCCTTGTTAATATATCTTTCACACTTCTGATGTCTGAGTATTTGTAAACATGATACACCCGACTCATACCTTTGTATCGTGATTTCAAGGTCAAATGCAAATGGATATAAGTGTTCTGAGCGAATTTGAAGGTCAATCAGCTATCACTTTCACTTTCCGATTTCTGCAAAGCTAAGGCAGGAGGGGGGTTGGTGGTGACATGAAACAAACAACTTACACCGGCTCTAGCAGCGGCTAGAAACAGAAATATAAGTGAGTGAATAAGCTGGAGGCTTCTTTGAACAGTATTACGGTAATATCACTGCATGTTAACTGCATGGAAGAAAAGCTTGAAGTGATACTAGTCACAGACGTTTATCACTTCAGTGAAGCCTTACATTGTGGACAAACCTAGAAATGTAATCAAGGAGAATCTGGTATTTGAACCAACAAAGACATGTATCCTGCTGATCCAGGGGGACACAACTCTGCACAGATAATTTAGGCCCCCAAGATGTCTGGGCCTCTATGTCTTCCTTGTTATGAGAGCATGGTTTTAATGTCACAGTAGCCAGAAACTGTGTGAAGCCTGATAGGTACACAAGCATTAGAGCTATATATTATATAGACAGTCCTACAAGTACATTACATTGTTGTTTGTTGTTTTTGTTTGTGTGTTCTTTAACGCCACACTCAGCAATATTCCAACATTGATGGAAGCGGTCTGTAAGTAATCGAGTCTGGACCAGACAATCCAGTGATCAACAGCATGAGCATTAGTTATGATGAGTGATCGAGTGAGTGAGTTAAGTTTTACGCCGCTTTTAGCAATATTCCAGCAATATCACGGCGTTGGGACACCAGATAGTTATGATGACATGCAGTTCGTATATGATGAGGTGAATCAATTAAGTCAGCCAATCCTGTTAGTCACAACAGTTTTACTATGAGCTGGAGGTTATTTCTAACCCGCATCTTCACGGGGAACATTTTACTGACATCTCCGTTATGAGCGGATCACACTGACAATGTGCCAGTTATCATAAAATAAGTAAAAAAAACAGAGGTGGCACTGAATGAAAGCTTGAACTGCTGCACATGAAAACAATTGTGGGTTATCACATGAAATAATTTATAAAGAGTTTCTGCTGAAAGAGAATAGGATATTTTATGTAATATTCACATCCATGGCGGAATTCTGTGGCAGAATGTACATTATGGATCAGCAGGCAAGTTTAACACCACTTTGGTCACTTGAAGGCAAGCCCAAAGGAATGTAGGTCTAAGACATTCAATGCTTTGGTGAAACTCAAGAACACAGATATAGTGCTGACTAATCAAGAATAATATAGTCAGGGCAAACAGGCACTGATCACAGGGTTCTGCCACATCAAAGGGACAAAACTCTGAACAACGAACTGTGCTATGTTCGAAGACTGGTCCAGCCATTCCCAAATAGTTGAATGACGTGAAAACATTCAACAACAATGGATGTCCAATTTGGAACGATTCATACAATCTGTCACAAATCCATGACCTGTTGTAGGACGCACTTCTATTCAATATTTAGCTGCAATTTCATTAAAATCAGATCTTAGTGCTCAGTACCAATACACAGAGATCTGGGGACATCTTGAGAGTCACATTAGAAGTTATGAACGATTAATGACTAGCACAAAGTCAATATTAGTCAATTAAAGCTTTCTTTAGCTTCAATATGGCTAGTTTCAATCTAACTTTGAAAAATGAACACAAGAAAATTCTGTAATGTCTTGATGGCCTCATAAACAATTTACTGACAAGACCAGAAAGTAAGTGAGTTGGGTTTAATGCTGGTTTTAGCAAATATTCCAGCAATATCACGGCGGGGGGACACCAGAAATGGGCTACACACATTGTACCCCATTCTCTTCCCACAGAGGTTACTTGTCATATCTTCCTACGAACCTCTGTTCTAATACGGCCATATTTCCCGGTTCTCGTAAAATCCCCTAGTGGCAAAAGATCGCGAAACGAATTATCTCCCTTCTTTCTATCCAATCAGAACAGGTGTCACATCGACTTAGATTCAACTTGACTAACACAAGCAAATGTGGGGCCAAAAATATCCCCCATCTGCCGGGGGACTTGTGTTGATGTTACACACAAGACGTTAATGGCTAGCTTGTCCGTTGTCAACGAGGGTGATGGAGACGCCACTGATCCGCCATAACATGACTTAGTTCTGTCTAGAAGAAACGTTTGCGCATCACGCAGGGGAAGAGGTTTAGTTTTCTCGAAGCATACGGAAATTACCAAGGCCTTGCGAATAATCACTTTTGAAACAACGTTGCTGATTGCACAACTAAATCTGATTGCCTCCAATCACCAGTCTTGAACGCTCACACCATGAAAGGGCCGTATTAGAAGGTTACGTAGGAAGATAAGACAGGAGAAACCTCTGTGGGAAGAGAATGATTGTACCCATGTGAGGAATCAAACCCAGGTCTTCAGTGTGACGAGCGAACGCTTTAACCATTAGACTACCCTACCGCCCCTGACGTGATCTGTGCACCAACATCTGATTATTAATGAGATTGCAAAAAGTTTAAAATATTAAGAATAATATGCAAAATAAAGACAGTTCGCTTCTGCTGTAACAATGAATAAACGTCCTACCTGGACATGACCGTTGGGACCATTAGACGTGGAGTTCTCTTCCTTCACTACTGTGATGTGATTGGTCGATTCTTCTGTTTTATAGCTGGACTCGTAAGGCTGTGGGCCGACCCAGCTGAGGATAACAGGGAGGTAGGCCAATCCATGGAACAGCCCAAATATCACAACCGTCATGAACACCTGGCCAACATACATCATCATTTCCAAACATCCTCATAGAAAACTTTCAAATCTAGCCATGTTGTCTTCATGTATTGCATTGTCATCGATCATTAAATTTCAATTATTCTTTGCTACCTCTTGCTGCATTTAAACTAGACAACAATTAAAATGAAAACTATCCTGAATAATAACATCAATATTTTGTTGATGACCACCTCAACAGACGTGAATCTCTCTGGACCAAACTCTAAGGTATATTTTTTGTCTCCATGTCTGATATTGCCACACCCTGCAAAATTCTATGTAAAAGGTGGCAGACTATAATTATATTACCCAATTGAACTGGACAATCCAGTGACTGGTGCAATGAGCCAAAATACATGCCATGTTTGTTATGCAATGTGTTTAATGGACTGTGAAAGCTGAGTCAAGGCTTATGACAGAGGTACCAAGTTGACAACAAGGAACCCTGGGTAGGAGAGTTACCCGGAAGAAGAGGGCAAATCCATAACTAGAGCTGTTTGCCAGGAGGACGAAGGCCAGGAAGGTACTGAAGCCACCATTGAACACCGCGGGGCCGATAGTCTTCAGTGTCAGGATTGACCGATCTGTATCAAAATACATCATGAGTCTGACCTACAAGTTATCACCACTTGCAACAGTGAGTGAGTGAGTGAGTGAGTGAGTGAGTGAGTGAGTGAGTGAGTGAGTGAGTGAGTGAGTGAGTGAGTGAGTGAGTGAGTGAGTGAGTGAGTGAGTGAGTGAGTGAGTGAGTCTTGTTTTACGCCGCTTTTAGCAATATTCCAGCAATATCACGGCGGGGGACACCAGAAATGGGCTTCACACATTGTACCCATGTGGGGAATCGAACCCGGGTCTTCGGGGTGACGAGCGAACGCTTTAACCACTAGGCTACCCAAAAGCCCCCACTTGCAACAGAATCAAGCCAGTCTTGTAGTTTGGCCCAAACACTTCTTACAAGACAACTGTCAGCACTGAGAACTTAATGTTAATTTTTTACTTTGAATCTAAGTTGATGTCACTTGCTTGTTAAATCACAATGGACACACTGAATCGCCACAGTCAGATAGTGAATAGCTACACGAGAATCAAATGACAGTTCTAATGCTGATCTTATCAGCCACCGCGGTCTAGGCATCTGACTTTGTGTGCTGGCGATTAGGTGCCTGACTCTGTGGGTGTGGGTTCGAATCTGGGATGGGACTCAACCCAGAAAGTACTAGAATCTGTACTTTACTAAGAAAGTGTAATCCCAAATATAACATATGTTACATTTGACCACTTTCTAAAATGGCATTGTGTATTTCATATGGAGAATTGAACCAAAGCCTTCAGCATGAAGAGCAGATGCTTTAACCATTAGGCTACCCCTCTATCCATCAAAGAATTATCTTGTCCTTGAACGTTCCACAGATTGCAGATTTTCATATATAGTATGACCATGAAATTATTGAGAATTTTAGGAATATGTTTAATTGGATTTCTAGTATAAACAACCTTGACCAGCTATCAAGTGCTTGGTTTCATTCAAGAGAGACAACTCCGTTAATCCTTTTTCATTAGTTTGTGACGAGTTATCCCCCTTTGTTTACTTGCTAGCAGACAACATTTTCAGTGATCCTCAGTATGGATGACTTAGTTCAGTATAGTTCATTGTCCTGGAGTAATGAATTTTAACTGAAGGTAATGCTCATTGCCTGGTTGACTCACAGTTGCGGTCTCCATGCACTGTCATGAAGGTGTGACCTATATGTGCGGAGTAGTCGACGGCGATGCCCACGGAGAGGATGAGGAGCACGCTGCTGGCGGTGTCGATAGTCACGCCCCACAACTCCAGTGCTCCAGCAACATCAATCTGCAACACCAACAACCCAACATTGGTGAGAATAAGTCTCTGCAGTGCCTCTTACAACATACCATGCCTTCAAAGTTCAGAAAAACAAAGTACATGGCATATTCTTTTTAAAAAGGAACTTCAAGGAACTGCTCAGAAACTATGTGACATCCAATTACATATACCAGAACACAACAAATGTCTAGGAAATATCAGCCATCATGGAATACAACAGGAATATAACACCATGAAACTGCAAGAACTCAAACTTGTTGAAATTTGTTATCCGAAATTTTGAATCAGTGGCATGCAATAATTAAGAGTCGCTGAATTGATATGAATTGTTACATATTTGTTGTTTCACGGGTCTGATTTAAAATCAATCCCAAAATACTTTTGATGCAGAAATGACAAAATAACTAGAACTTGTTTGGTCAAAACTGTTAATAATTCTTAAAGGGCCTCTTCCTCACTAGTCAAAACCCTGCACGGTCATGTGACTGCGTACTTTATAAAGACGTCCCTTGTATATTACCAACAGTTATGAATTTCTTTAATTCGCCCTAATAGTGTAGTGTGTGAAGAATATAGGTTCCCCAGCCAGTTCATGACTCACCAGAGTGAAAACAACACAGGTGAAGACAAGCACTGATGTCCAGATGTTTGCGATCAACAGCAGCGTCACCAACAGCACACAGCCACCAGCTAGACCCAAGTTCCGGTACAGCTCCGACAACAGCACCTATATGTCAACAACACTTATTGCACTGACACAACAATAATAATATGTAATTTGCTTATTGCTTGTCTCCCTTTCCTTCCGAATGCTAGTGGAACACTTGAATCCCCTTTTGAAGCTCCCTTCAAAAAAGTGGACGTAAAATCACTTACCAGGAGTCACCTCCCTTTCCAGGTTTTGGCGGGAACGGCGCCACCCGTCTGCCATGCTCTTCACTCTCTCCGTATTATAACCCGACACACTGGTTTACTGGGAAATCCAGAGTGCCTTGAGGGGAGGTTGGGAGGGCTTACCTCATGAGTCAGGATAAGTATAAAATATCAATTTTAGTCAGAAAATTACATATTTTTCCTTATCCTGACTCATGCTTGTAGCTTGTAGAATCCGACGGTATAGGTGGTGGGTCAAGCCACCTCTGGATTCCTTAGTGATGAATTTACGTCCTATATACCCCCATGGGAACTTTAAATGGCACTGCTGCTGTTGATCCATATGTCGAAATAATTTGGTAATTTGGGGGGACCACAATATATCAAACTCTTCTGTAACCGTACATGTGGATTTAAATAACTCCAACTCTTGATGGTCGTATCAAGTGGAGTAGTGACCCTATCCATGTACAAGTAATTCCTTACTAGTACAGGGTCCAATATTCATGCTAGTCTGTTCTAGACGTGTACATGGACTATAAGCTCTATTCCTTGGAGTACGAGCTTTGCATGACATGCGGTAAAAGGGCGAGATACATCTCAGCGCCTTTGAGGGACCGTCAGCTGTTGAGCTACAACCAGAGGTCCAAACTGGTGGATACCGGAGACATCCTTGGTAGCAAAGTCTCTGAGGTAGTGGTTAGCAAATACTGTCTCCGATTTCCAAAAACACCCTTCCATGATCGTGGATATTGAGCAGTTTCCATGTAGAGCAAGTGTAGATGCCAGTGCTCTAACTTCGTGCGGATTGGAGGCTCGAGGAGGCTCAAGTCCTGCTGCCTTGTAGGCTCGTAGTATGATTGCTCTCATCCAAACTGATATCGTAGTACGTGAGATCTCTGTGGGTGTCTCCGACGATATGGGGATGAAAAGGCGTTTGAATTTTCGTCTCCTGGTTTTAGACTTCTGTAGATATATTTTCAGCTCTGACTGGACATAGGGATAAATCTTGTATATCCTGTGGACCAAGGATTGTAGATAATGCTGGGATGTGGAATTGTCTGTCCGGTTGACCTGGCAGTTGATTCTTAGCTATGAAATCCCACCTCAATCCTAGATGAACCGTGTTGTGGCGTGTGTCAAAGCGTATCCGTTCAAAGTCCAGCATGTATTTCTGACTTATGCGTGCGCTGTAGCCAAGGCGATCAGAAATAGCGTTTTCTGTGTAAGAAATTCTTAAGAAGTTCTTTCTAGTGGTTCGTACACATCACTGGTGAGATGTCGTAATACCACGTTGAGATCCCAAGCCGGCGCTTTAAATTTCATTTGTTGGTCTTCCAGTTTAAAAGAGCGTAGCAAGGCCAGTAACTCTGGCACCTTGGTCAGTTTCACGCCTGTCTTCATAGTGATAACTGAGCTGAGAGCCGCTAGGTATGTAGATAATGTCGAACCTTTTAATTTCTTCATTTGTCTGAGATGACAAAGATATTCCGCCACTTGAGGATGTGTAGCTTTCACTGCAGTGAAACCTTTCCTCGATGCATATTTCTCAAAGCTTTGCCACTTGTCGTCATACAAGTTACGAGTAGATCTGCGTAAAGCTAGTGTAACTGCTTTCGCTGCTCTGGCGGAGTATCCTCTTTTCGACAAGCAATTCGTGATACGTTCCATACGTGTAGGTGGAACAATCTGGGATACTTGTGAACTTGCTTGGTGTGAGGATGAATTAGTAGGTTCGGCCAAACTGGAAGTTGTATTGTTGGTTTTCGATTTCTTGTAAAAGAGCGGGAAGCCACGTTCTTAACTGGCCAGTAAAAAGTGACCAAAATCAGTTGTAGATTGTTTGTCTGCCTGATTTTCTGTAATACCTGTGGTATTAACGCTGGTGGGAGGCAGCGTGGCGTTTAGCCCTTCCCATGGGATGCTTAGAGCGTCTGTTGCCCATGCTTGTGGATCGGGAATTGGAGAGAGGCGAATGTTGCCAGTTGATTGTTGAATCTCGTGGCGAATAGGTCTACGAGTGGAGATCCTATCGTCTGTATGATGCATCTGAACGCTTGTGGATGTAACATCCATTCTGTTGGGGATGGTTGATGTGGTCGAGATAGCGCATCTGCTATTACATTCCTGGCTCCCGGAATGTGACATGCTTTCACATAAATGTTGAGATTGTCTATTATGTTGAATAGTTGAAAGCTGAGGTCTAGAAGATTGCAAGATCTTGTTGATCCTTGTTTGTTTATGTAAAACGCCACTGTTGAGTTGTCCGTATGGATCATCAATTTTGCGTTCCTTAGTACTTTGGACCAATGTAGTAGGGCATTTACTACTGCTTTTATCTCGAGCATGTTGATATGCAGATTCATTTCTTGTTTCGACCATTTCCCGGCAACCACTTCGTTGTCGAGGTGTGCTCCCCAACCGTGCAGTGATCGTCTGTGTAGAGGTGGACGTTGCACTCCGGCTCTATTAAGTAGTTTCCGTCGCAAACATTCGACTTCTGAGTCCACCATAGTAGATATGGTTTTAGCCTGTCTGGTATTTGAAGGGATCCAGACTGTGTAAGTGGGCGTTCACAAATCTCTGTAGTGGGCTTGGTTGTAGTCTCCCTCTGCGTGTCATGTCTTGAGCTGACGTGAGGAGACCTAATAGGCTCTGCCATTCTCGTAGTGGTAACGGAGAGAGTAGAACTTGAGAGATCATTTGTTGAATCTTGATCCAACAATCCTCTGGAACGAGAATGCGATTCTTCGTTGTTATAAGCATATTCCTAGGAAATGCAAGTCCTGAGTAGGCTGTAGTTCCGACTTGAGGAGATTTACTAGCCATCCTAGTTGAGTGAGAAGTGTGATGGTGAAGTTCAGTTGCAGTCTGAGTTGACTGGGATCTTGCTGAGCTTGAATCCCGTTGTCTAGGTAGAACGCACTGCGTAGACCTCGACGATGTAGATATATATTGATGGGCTTTGTCACTCGAGTAAACAACCAGGGGGTCGACGATATTCCAAATGGCAGGACCTTCCATTGGAAATGGCGTCCGTTGAACAGGAATCGTAGATATTTCCTTGATTCCTGATGGATCGGGATGTGTAAGTATGCATCCTGTAAATCTATGCTGGCGAGATAGTCTAGCGGACGTATGAGCTGTCGTAGCTGTGGAAGATGTATCATCTTGAACTTTGCGGGTGGTAAGAGGTAATCTTTGTTGAATTTCCTCATGTTGTAAATGAGTCGGAACTTTTCTTTTGAATTTTTCTTTGGTACCAGAAAAATTGGGGAGTAGAAACCTGGTGTGACGCAGTGTTTTATCTCTTCTATTGCCTCTTTCTCTAGTAGAGATGTGATGGCTTCTAGTAGATTTCCCTTCTGGTCTGCAGCGTAGATGTGAACCATAGGGTTGATTGTTACTGGTGGTACTGCTTGTAGCTGTATCCTGTAACCTGTGCATAGAATCTGAGATCTGTCGTGAATCTGAAGTCGTCTTGAAGAATTCCCCAATTCTTCCAGTAGAGTTGCAGGCGTCCACCCACTTGTGAGGGTTGTACGGCTGGGGGTGGAAGACTCCAGTCGTTCCGAACCTGTATTTCATCGTCTGGAACTTCTGGCGCCTCGGAAGGGCCGACCTCTTCCGTAGTTACCTCTTGGAGCTGCGGATGGGCGACGAAAAGAATCCTTATTTTCTTTAGCGTTGCCTGATTTCTTATCCCTTGCTCTCTGGATGCCTGCAAACTTCGATTTGCCGGAATAACGTTGGGAGGTCTGACGTATTACACTGGCCAGTGTATCGATAGACTTGATCATCATTACTTCTCAGGAATCTTTAGCGACTTCCTTGGCGACTTCATCAATTTCTCCTGCAAAAATGGATGGTGCTGACCAAGGGGCTCTGTAGAGTGTCTTGGTAAACTTCTCGCTCCAAGTACATGAAGATAATAGTCCTTGCCTTCTTGATAATGTTAAGCCTGCAGAAATGGATGATAGGTGTTCAGACATGAACTGATGATCCTTTTTCTGTGTAAGTAGAGCTGAATAAATCATTCTATCTTCCTCTGAAGTTGAATTCTTAAACTTCGAGATGAGAGTCTCGTTGACAGCTCTTGACCAGGCTAGGCCGAAGAAGGTTCGTCTGGTTACTGTGTCTAACTGTGCCAGTTTTTATCTTCTATCTTGTAAGCTTTAGTCGAGTGTGTTGATTGATGATCTTATAATTCTCATCTATCTCTGGGGCCTTCATGAAGGGTTCCATGTGGTGTAGAGAGAACTTCTTAGCGTTGAGCGGCGGAATACTCTGAGTCTGGTATTTAGTTGCCTTCTTGAAGGCTGTGCTGAGTTGTCTGGAGCGTCTAAGACTGGGTGAAGATAGGTGGCATCGTGAGTGAGTCTATATCATCATTCACCATCAAGTATGATAGTGCCGTTGGTCTCCTTAAAGGGTGATCGCGAGTTCCAAACCGTTGGCCATCCATGACTTGATTTCGAGTCGGAAAATATAATTCGCCGTCATCTTCCTGCTCTGAGGATGGATGTCTTCTATTGTCGTCTGAACGAGGAGATCTGTAAGGTGATCTGTAAGACGATCTGTGTGGTGACCTGCGTGGCGATCTGTAAGGCGACCTGCGTGGTGACCTTCGTGGCGAACCATACGTTCGTGAATGTGTTTGTGACATCCTACGTGGGGACCTGCGTGGAGATAGAGATGACCGTGCGTGCCTTCGCGCGAACCTGCGTGTTGGTGAACGGCTTTGTCGAGGGTTGGAGTCTTGTGACGAATCTCTATGCCGCGCCGATACGGATGTTGATTCTCTTCTCCTTGGTAACGAACCGTTGCGTGCAGGTTCGTGACGAACGTCTGTATCTGACGTCGATGATGATCTTCGTGGGCTCGGCGAACGTCTGGTCCTTCCGTCGAACGTAGTTGGTGCGGAGTCCACGTTGGTATGGCTGCCAGGTATTCGTGCGAACGCTGTAGTCGAGCTGGAATCTTCCTGTATGCTCTGCAGGACGTTGGTTCACAACGGACGTGGTGTGCTGCTCAGTTGACCTTCACTCGGGTTCGTCGCAGACGTCGTCTTCGTCGCAGCTCTCTCGCGTGCGAACCGTTGATCCAACAGATCCAACATCTGTTGGGTAAATTGCTGCATAAAGGCGCCCGGGTTGAAGGTCTGCGTTGTCTGTTGTACTGACGACGCATCTGAGATGGATGAGGCTTCCTCCGAAGGGCGTAGAACCTTCGTGCCGAACGTCTGCGTTGATAGGGTGTCCTGCGTGGTTACTGTAGAAGACGTCTTCGTCTTCTTCTTAGATGTGATCTCAGGGATGAGGATGGGCGGCTCATCGTAGACATCTATTTCTTCCAGAGGGACGATCTCAGCTGAAAAGGACCTCGTCTTCTGCGTTGCCCCCCGTGTGGAGACTTCGCCGAAGTCTTAGCTGTAGCTGCCTTCTTCCTCTGGGAAGACGATGCCCTAGTCTTCTTAGACTGCGAAGAGGGTGTCTCAGATGTAGATGACCTCTTCCTCGAGCCAGCGTTGTCTAAGGCGGCAACCTCCTCCGTAGGCGACCCCGGTAGACCACTGGAATGGTGTATCTGCGCAGACACCAACTGCCCGGTCCTCTGCAAGCTTAGCCGGTTTAGACATGTCGTGTAATTCTCGTCTGGACCTGTCCTTTGCACGTCTAGACAGATAATATGAATATTTGTAAAATGCAATATCAGACAGGTGAAAACACAACTGACAACGAGTGTCAGATAAACATATAGGCTTGCAATTAGGACATAGGTTATCGCGGATCAACAGCAGACAAAGCGATACCTACAATCAGAACAAGATTTCATCAATTGTAAACAATGTGAATAATCGCGTAAAAGCGTGACAAAAACGGAGAAATTTGAGAATTATTTCCGTAAAATATTGTAGGTAAATGTTAGCTAAAGCCTTATACAGCTAATTTAGAAGAAAAGCCTAAATAATAAAAGGATATAAAGCCGTATAGGGGACCAGGTGCTCTCACAACCGCCCACTCGGGCGAATCAGGAGAGAGTGAAGAGCATGGCAGACGGGTGGCGCCGTTCCCGACAAAACCTTGCAAGGGAGGTGACTCCTGGTAAGTGACTTTACGTCCGCTTTTTTGAAGGGAGCTTCATAAGGAGATTCAAGTGTTCCACTAGCATTCGGAAGGAAAGGGAGACAAGCAATAAGCATGAGTCAGGATAAGGAAAAATAATAATAATGGATATTTTTAGCGTGCCATTTTCCACCCACTGATACATGCTCAAGGTGCTACATAAAAGCATACATACAATGCATACAGAGGACCTACACCTACATCTCTGTCACAACAGGACACCTACAGCTCTGTCACAACAGGACACCTACAGCTCTGTCACAACAAAACACCTACATCTCTGTCACAACAAAACACCTACATCTCTGTCACAACAGGACACCTACAGCTCTGTCACAACAGGACACCTACAGCTCTGTCACAACAAAACACCTACAGCTCTGTCACAACAGGACACCTACAGCTCTGTCACAACAGGACACCTACAGCTCTGTCACAACAGGACACCTACATCTCTGTCACAACAAAACACCTACATCTCTGTCACAACAGGACACCTACAGCTCTGTCACAACAGGACACCTACATCTCTGTCACAACAAAACACCTACAGCTCTGTCACAACAAAACACCTACAGCTCTGTCACAACAAAACACCTACATCTCTGTCACAACAGGACATCTACATCTCTGTCACAACAGGACATCTACATCTCTGTCACAACAGGACACCTACAGCTCTGTCACAACAAAACACCTACATCTCTGTCACAACAAAACACCTACATCTCTGTCACAACAGGACACCTACAGCTCTGTCACAACAAAACACCTACAGCTCTGTCACAAAAAAACACCTACATCTCTGTCACAACAGGACATCTACATCTCTGTCACAACAAAACACCTACATCTCTGTCACAACAGGACACCTACATCTCTGTCACAAAAAAACACCTACATCTCTGTCACAACAGGACATCTACATCTCTGTCACAACAAAACACCTACATCTCTGTCACAACAAAACACCTACAGCTCTGTCACAAAAAAACACCTACATCTCTGTCACAACAGGACATCTACATCTCTGTCACAACAAAACACCTACAGCTCTGTCACAACAAAACACCTACAGCTCTGTCACAACAGGACATCTACATCTCTGTCACAACAAAACACCTACAGCTCTGTCACAACAAAACACCTACATCTCTGTCACAACAAAACACCTACATCTCTGTCACAACAGAACATCTACATCTCTGTCACAACAGGACACCTACAGCTCTGTCACAACAAAACACCTACATCTCTGTCACAACAAAACACCTACACCTCTGTCACAACAGGACACCTACATCTCTGTCACAACAGAACACCTACAGCTCTGTCACAACAGGACACCTACAGCTCTGTCACAACAAAACACCTACATCTCTGTCACAACAAAACACCTACATCTCTGTCACAACAAAACACCTACATCTCTGTCACAACAAAACACCTACATCTCTGTCACAACAGGACACCTACATCTCTGTCACAACAGGACACCTACATCTCTGTCACAACAGGACACCTACATCTCTGTCACAACAGGACACCTACAGCTCTGTCACAACAGGACACCTACAGCTCTGTCACAACAGGACACCTACATCTCTGTCACAACAAAACACCTACATCTCTGTCACAAAAAAATACCTACAGCTCTGTCACAACAGGACACCTACATCTCTGTCACAACAAAACACCTACATCTCTGTCACAACAGGACATCTACATCTCTGTCACAACAGGACACCTACAGCTCTGTCACAACAGGACACCTACAGCTCTGTCACAACAGGACACCTACAGCTCTCACTACAGAACTCTTGTTGAAGTTAAGCAACGTTAGTCACAGAGAGTACTTGGATGGTGTGATAAAACAAAACGAAACAAAACACAATAACACCCATAGTTACAGAGACATAAGATGTAGATCTTGTTGTAAAACGGTTCCAAGAATGCTGATGTTGTAGGTCCAAGTCCCAGATTTGTGAATACAATTCTCCGTCTGAAAGCACTTTACCCATGATTATCAGCTTCACCAAAGGCGTTGACATTTTAAACCTTATCACTTCAAGCTTTTCCTCCTTTGACATACTTGACATACTATAACTGACATACTCACTCTCTCATATACACAGCGACACAAACCTTGTTGGTCTCGTATGTCAGGTAACTCTGGGAGTAGGCAAACGCCTGGTATTTGGGCAGATCTTCACCGGAGTATTGTGGGAAGTCGATGTTGTCAATTATGCGTCGTAAATCTTCCATCGCTGCTATTTCATCTGCTGAGTCTGGCTGTAAGGTGTGCCGCAGTGTCATGTAGGATGCCTGGAATGTGGCATACAGGAACATGACATACAGGAACGTGGCATACAGGAATATGACATACAGGAACGTGGCATACAGGAACATGACATACAGGAACATGACATACAGGAACGTGACATACAGGAACGTGGCATACAGGAATATGACATACAGGAACATGACATACAGGAACATGACATACAGGAACATGACATACAGGAGCGTGGCATACAGGAACATGACATACAGGAACATGACATACAGGAACATGACATACAGGAACGTGACATACAGGAACGTGGCATACAGGAATATGACATACAGGAACGTGGCATACAGGAACATGACATACAGGAACATGACATACAGGAACGTGGCATACAGGAACAGGAACATGATGTACAAGAACGTGACATACCCAGAACATGACATACAGGAGCGTGGCATACAGGAATATGACATACAGGAACGTGGCATACAGGAACGTGACATACAGGAGCGTGGCATACAGGAATATGACATACAGGAACATGACATACAGGAACGTGGCATACAGGAATATGACATACAGGAGCGTGGCATACAGGAACATGACATACAGGAACATGACATACAGGAGCGTGGCATACAGGAACATGACATACAGGAATGTGGCATACAGGAACATGACATACAGGAACATGACATACAGGAACATGACATACAGGAATGTGGCATACAGGAATGTGACATACAGGAACATGACATACAGGAACGTGGCATACAGGAACGTGGCATACAGGGACGTGGCATACAGGAATGTGGCATACAGGAACATGACATACAGGAACATGGCATACAGGAATGTGGCATACAGGAACATGACATACAGGGACGTGGCATACAGGAACATGACATACAGGAACATGACATACAGGAACATGACATACAGGAACATGGCATACAGGAATGTGGCATACAGGAACGTGGCATACAGGAATGTGGCATACAGGAACAGGAACATGATGTACAAGAACGTGACATACCCAGAACATGACATACAGTAACAAGACCAACGGGAACAATATGTACAGGAGCGTGACATACATGAACATGGCACTCAATAATGACCACTTCCAGCTCACCTCTATACTTATTGGTGGCAGTGTGGAGTTCATCTTGACATATCTGGCCAGCTGGATTCCAGGGCCTGTGAGGAATGTGTACATCAAGTTGTAGAACTCCGCCTCAGACGTCGGGACCATACCTGTAACATCGTCGAATGAGTCATCACTGTTTATTGGGACCTACTTGTAGACAGTAACGGACAGGAAGTAGATAGTCAACACACAATGCCTTTTAGAAAGTAGTCAAATGCAAAATTTGTTATATTGGGGATTACACTTTCTCAGTGAAGAGCACATTCTTTGGGGGGTTGCGCAGATAATAATAATAATAAATTTATATAGCTCCTAGTATCCATCTGACTAGCTAGTTGCTCACTGGATGCTGTCCCACTTGGGGCCACATCCTCTTGTTATAAACAATTCTCTATAATGTCAGTATTTACACAATGAGGTCAAGGTCAGCAAAATCTGTATTCTAAGCTGTGGGTTCTACACTAAACCTATTCTAACCCAGGGGACCTGTACTAAACCAGGGGACCTATTCTAACCCTGGGAACCTGTACTAAACCAGGGTATCTTTCTTACCCTGGAGGAAGATTCATTCAAGAATACATCATCATTGTGATGCAAAAATACAACTTTGTTATGTTCACAGCAAACAAGGAATCATCTTATGTTAGGCTACGTTTATGGGACTCATTGAGTGAGTGAGTGAATTGGGTTTAACACCACTTTTAACACTAAAACAGTAATATCACAGTATGTTCACTAAATGTGGGAGAAAAGACAAAGTAGCATGGATATGGTCCAGACAAAATCTTAAACATAACTGGGTCAAACCCACAATCCTGGCATTCCCAAGGGACACAACTCTGCACAGCCAACTGTGTTGCCTAAGGTAACCACATGCCCCAGGCATACAAATGAGAAGTTGCAACTTTAGAGTTAGTCCACAGAGTGTTGAAAGCAAGTCAGTGTAATAACTATGCAAGATTAATATGAAGACAAGCTTGAGGCAACTAAAGATGATATCTACTGGCTGTTTCACCTCTTACCATAAAATGCAAAATAAATAAGGCAAGATGCATTTAACTGGAAAATATAAAAATGAGTTCAAACAAGTAAACTTGAAACCAGAATTTTGTTAATAAGAATCTGCTAAGCAAACAGGCACACCAAAACTGTATTCCTATGAATAAACAATGACATTAACTTGTACTCTCAAGCTGTCTGAATCAACACTTAATTGTTTGTTGTTTAATTTTGTTTACCGCCGCACTCAACACTATTCCAGCTATAAGACAACAGTCTATAAATAATCATGTCTGGACCAGACAATCCAGTGATCAACAGCAAGAACATCAATCTACACAATTAGGATCCCTTCGTCGCCTCTTACGGCAAGCATGGGTCACTGAAGACCAATTCTAACCTTGATCTTAACAGGTCAAATCAATGCTTGAATGCTTGAATGGAATTTGATAACTGAAGAATAGTTTTGGAGTTAATCACAGTGCAGTAAAACATCATTGACCTCTCTCATTCTCTCAAACAACTTGATACATTTTCATGATAAACCACTTTAGAAAAGGACTCAACACTGAAACTAAAACAAACTAAAACTGAACCACATTACACACAGTGGTTTACAACATGGAAGTCTGTCGTGCTTCATGCTGACCTGGCATGCAAGACAGAAGGTTAGTATAGAATATACGGACAGATATAGAGATGTTAGAATATATACAACCTCATAGTTCACTTACTAGTTGTAGTACCGTCAGTATCTGTAAGCAGGTTAAAACTAGTGTTGGGAATTGGTTAAAATCTCATAATTGATGATTGGTTTATTACAACCGACCAATCATCGAAAATAATTGGTTAGCGTCATTTATGAAATTTGTTAATGCACATAAAAATAATGAAAAAACATGTAGTTCTTTTGGGTTTTTTGGCAAAATTTCACATCTTTAAAGGATGACTAGTATGTCAGGAACATAAATTTCTTGGAGTCTTTAAGATAAATTCAATCATGACTTGAAACGAACTTGTAGTGCTTATGAAATGTAACAGACAAAACCAACCTTGTGAAAAATATTGTTTATGAAAACAAGTGTTCCAGAATTGTTTGTGTTCGATTATGAGAAAACATGATCGATTGCGTGGTCGTTTAGTCACTACGACCAATCTTCAATTATTTCAATTAATCGGACCACCACTAGTTAAGACAACAATAAAGAGCTTCAATGTCATGTCGCATTATCAACATGTTTTCCTCAGTACGGTAAGACAATGTCTGGTTTGACTATAAAACTACAAACTTACTTCCTTAAATTGTAATAAAAGTGAAGAAATTATTAAATGAAATAAATAAAATTGATAAGAACAATTTTCAAAATGTCCTTATTCTTGAAAGTACTGAATTACATGTAATGACCTTAAAATTTAAAAATATTTTTGTGTTATATCCATTGAAACTGAAAAGAAAAGAGTCTTGAATTCTATTTATGTTAATGTTTATTTCACGCCTACCAAAGAAAACTTTCCCACTGTGGAAAAATGCAGAAAAGCCCATATTAATTGTTGAAATAGCAACATAAACATAATACCTTGCTACTGAAAGCATGAAAGCATAGAAGGTGAGGTGAAATGGGGTTTAACGTCGTAATTAAGAATGTTTCGCTCATATGACGACATCCATGTGTATGTATGTGTGGCTGCTTGCACTAGCCCAGACTTAAACTGGTTTTATAGAGCTAGCCCACTGAGATACATTGCCACAGTTAAGCATGAATACCCCATTCAGACACATTATACTGACTCCGAGCCGACCAGTCCTTGTTGTACCCATTAATGTCGAGCACCAGGCTGGGACCAACAAGTACCATATTTTAACGTATTTTGGGGATCGAACCCGTGACCTTTCCCTCTCTAGGCGGGAGCTCAAACCACTACACAAAGCTTGGAAAACAAAGCTGATTTAAACATGGCTTTGAACAGTGGCATGACTTAAAGTGATTCTGGTTGGGGGTCACAACGGTCCCTCCTTATCTAGGATTCAAGCCCATGAGCAGTCCTCGAAGATGACACATGGACCTATGTACCCACCATTCCTCCTCCTCCAGTCTTGGAAGACCTGGAACCAGCTGGTGACGGTTCCATTCTGGGTGTACTGGCTCTCGCTCACAAACTTGTATGCAGCATCAAGAGACTGAGAGCGTTCGTAGTAGTCGAATCCTCCTGGAAAACATCAGCATCATCAACACCATAGAAGTTGTCGTCATCATCGTCATCATCATCATCAACACCATAGATCTTATCATCATCATCATCATCATCATCTTATCCTGCATAATAGTATTACATCATAGGCTTGCAGGATTCAATGATCAAGGACTCAAACTCCAGATAAAGATTCTTGACCTGGGCCTAGATTTTCGAAGCTCTCTTATCGCTAAGATAGTCGTAAGTGCCACACATTAACATTAATTTACGACTATCTTAGTGCTAAGAGAGCTTCGAAAATCTACGCCCTGTAAGCTTGAGGTTGTTCATTTTAACAAAGTTGTAATTGTTTAACACCTTCATCACACTTAATAATTGTTTGAGAATATATCTATTTCCAAACTATTTTTTTACTGAGCCTCATTAACAAATCTATTCGAAGTGAGTATCAACACAAAACTTGGGTATATTCCAGAAAACACACCTCAGAAAGGGTCACCTTTGATACCAAGTACTTACCAAAGTATACAGCTGTGTCTATTCCTTCATCAGGGAAATATCTTTCTTTGGCCTTGACAAAAGCATAAGCGTAGGAATCACTGGGAATGTAGTTGACGAGGTCAAAGTCTTGTCTCAGGAGGATGAACCTCCACATGAACACACCAAGCAGCCCGAGAGTCGTCACAATCACTAGGATCTGAAACAGGGGCAAAAATATAGGACTTGTTTGATGGTAACGGCACAGGCAGCAGCATTCTAGCTACTGAGATTCATTCAGTTAATCCTGGCATGAAATTAATGTGAAAAATACAAGTTCTTGCTTCCATTAATGAATAACAGATTACTATCGAGAAAAACAGAAGTTTCTAGTTATATCAGGTTGACAGGAAGAAACAAAGACATGCTCTCAAGCTCCCAGTAACAATGCAGTGGAGAGGTAATATATTGCTCTGATAAAAGTGCTGGTTCCAGTGTGGTGAACCACAGTTGACAACAGCAGTGGTGTACGTAACTTTCCAGATGGTTTTGAATTAGCAGCATTAGAGTTATCTGCCCCTTCTACACAAAAACATGGCCGGAAAATTTGACAGGTTTCATGATGAGACAATTCTTCAGAAGGCTGACAGAGAACTCTGGATCTTAATGTAATTTATTGATTCTTCATTGATCATGTTTGGACACTGAATTCTTAAATTTGTTCTGATGGATAGCATTTGCATTTCAGTTTGAAAATCATCTCATAATAGTACAAGCATTGTCACTAAGGTGACATAATCCCCCGCCGCAAATTATCACATCAAACTTAAAAAGTAATGAAAGTTTAAGATGAAGTTTAAATGTCAAATAAAACATGACCAGTCAACATCTCTTGATATCTTCTCTTTAGTTGTTCAAACACACAAATATTTTCAAGACTGTCTTTGACCTTGACCTGAATGTCATAGTGTATGAATATGCAAAAATTCTACTAAAGAAATTGCTTATTGAAAAACATTCAAGGGAAGTCTTGAAAGTCTATGAAGAAATCCAGTGAATTCAGGTTAACATGCTGAAATCTTCAAAGTGTCGCAGTGACCTTGAAAATTATGTGAAGATCACCAAAATTGACTGGGCACTGCGCCTTCCCTAGATAAAGCTTGGTGTTGAATATGAAGAAAATCCAGTGAACGGTTCTTAAGATAGCTTAACATGCAGCTTAACATACTGAAATCTTCATAGTGTCACTGTGACCTTGAAAATTAAGTGAAGGTCACCAAAATCCACTAGGCCCTGCCCCTTCCCTAGATACAGCTTCATGATGAATATGAAGAAAATCTAGTGAGTAGTCCTTGAGATATCACGCTGACAAGAGTATAACGTTAAAGTCCCCTTGTGACCTTGAAATGAAGGTCAAGGTCACCAAACCTGACTGGGACCTTTCTTATACTGTGATGAACCTAGGTACCAAATATGAAAAGAATCTAGAAAACGGTTCTTAAGATATTCTAATTCGTACTTACGGACGGATGAACATACGGATGGACGGAGCCTTATTCTATATTCCCCGCCTCGCGTTAAACGTGCGGCAGGGGATGATAAGGCAAATGGGGATAAATTTGTGGGAATTCTGGTTTTGGTTCTTGAAAGATTTTTCTCTCATATTCTGCAAACCAGGTGGGTTATTATGGAGTGTGTCATGTGACATGATGTCATAACCTTCTGGAATGACGTCACGTCTGTGAGGCTTCAGTGAGAAAGGACATAAGGGATAATTACTCGTGAATTTTGTACCTTACGATGTCCATAAACACTATGTGTATTGAGATGAAGATGAGCATCCTCACTTCACAGATTTCAGATTTGCAGGTGTTATTCAGTATTTGATAAGTTCATAAGACATTCTCACTTTCACAGGTAGTTTCATCAGCGCTCTGCCGTAGTACCTCTCCATGAATTTGGGCATGAAGGATCTCTGGCTGCAGTTGTTGGGTGTGTAGTTCTTGTGTTTGTAGCAGCAGACGCAAGCATTCCGATGTGATTCTCGGCGCTTCTGGTCCAGTGATAAACACGCAACAAAAAACGTTGACTGCAGGACGTACAGAGCCAAGATGCCCAACGCTGCATAGATACAGAAGGCACTGAGAGCTGGGATGACCTGCAGACAAAGAGAGCAGTGGTCAGATATATCGTCTGTTAGGTGCAGACATTATAGTTCTCTCATAAATCTCCTAGATGTTTCGTATAAGTGTTTACCAACAAACTGTGATCCCAATAGCATTTTTTTGCAGGAAATCAAATGAAGAATTCTTTGGGGGCCAAAACCTTCAACAACAATACTTCTCTTCAGCATTTTTACAAAGAATAACTTCTCTGAGTGGCATTTAGAAGTTGGTGTGATTAACGATGGGGGAAGTTCTGTGAATATATAACATCTACACCAGAACGTTTCTTACATGCATAATACAGAGGTTGTATATCCATAGAACTTTCCCCATTGTCCTTTACAAATATATATTTTGTGTTAAAATTCCAAATTAAAACTCACAAAACAGCAGAAGGTACTTCATTATCATCAAGTTGAAGAGTTAAGTTGCAAGATAAATATTTAGATTACCGGTAATTGGTATTTTGCTCAATAAGTTGATCTCAGATTTTGTTCATCCAAATTGTGCTAAGATTCTTATATAGTATGATTGTGTTTGTATGTCATAATGTGCGTGTGCATGTGCATGTGCGTGTGTGTGTGGCTGCCCGTACTTGTCCAGGCTAAGGTTTGGTTTATAGTTCTAACCAACATACCCCCAACCCCCTGTACCCATCAGAGGGACAATGCCAACTTACAGTTGATGCACCGATGCCAAACGCCACAATGTCTGTGATTGATGTGACGGTGACTGACACGCCAGCGTGTTTCATCATCACCGCGACTCTCTGTGGCAAGGGAAGTAACTCCTCCTCCGGCGTGAGATTCTTCCAAGACTCCACGATGACGAACATGTCATCCACACCTATACCTGTGGGCATCAATCAAACATACTTCATCTACACAGATCGTCAGGTGATAGTGCTTCAGTGTCACAAAGATCAAATCAGAAATAGAAACTGACCATGTGAAGTTGTGATGATCATTATACATAACTGTGTTCAACAGTGACACACATTCAGCACATACACACACCCGTCATGCGGGTTCAATATTTTGAGTGGAAAGTAAAATCACCGTTCACAAAAACGCATTCTCTTCATTCATGTTATATTCAGCGAAATAGCTGCCAGCCTCTTAGCCTGTTGCCAGTAGTTTTTAGGAATGACAATAATCTTGGGAACACCCTATCCTGCTTGTGTTGTAAGGCTTTTGTAACTTCATATTTGAAAATTCAAATTTAACACAAAATACCTACTGTGAGGATGAGGATGATAATAGTGTCAATGTAAAAAAGAGTGAGTAAGTGAGTTTAGTTTTATGCCGCTGTTAACAATATTTCAGCCGGAGACCCCATAAATCAACTTCACACATTGTAGAGAAATGGAACCCAAATCTTCAGCGTGACCAGTGAACACTTTAACCTCTAGGCTGCCCCACCCAACATGTATAAAGCAGCATATTGTAAGAAAACGTTGGCTCAGCCTTGTATCAAACTTTGGTCCCCCCAACTGTACATTTATATTAAACATGTTATGTTAAATGGGGGCAGTAAGGCAGCCTTGTGGTTAAAGCATTTGCTCATCATGCTGAAGACCCAGGTTCGATTCCCCACATGGGTACAATGTGTGAAGCCCATTTCTGGTGTACCCCGCTGTAATGTTGCTGGAATATTGTTAAAAAGGAGCATAAAACTACAATCACTCACTTACATTAAATGCCTATACATTGCATAATACACATAAACAACCACTTACCAAGCAGAAGGAAGGGCATGATAGACTGTATAGGGCCATATATAACATCAAAGACTGTAGCTAGTCCATAGGCAAATATTATTGCTAAACCAACACTGAACAAGCCAATGAGAGAGAGGTATATCTGAAACAATGGCAAGGCAAATTAACTATTGTAATAAGAAAAACATGGGAGATATTAAATAATCAGATGTTCTAAATTTCTTCTTCGACAAATCAGCCAGAATTGTATGCTAGCTTTAATGACACAACTGAAATAGAGATTTCTTCAAATGGCATTTAGATGTTGGTATGTTGAACAAGGGACACAATTGTATGGATAGACAACTTCTCAATCACAATGAATGTGATGTTTCGGTGTAAGTATTAACACTATTATCAGACAAGGCAAGAACATTAATTGCTTGATAACAGTGTCACCTTCACCAAAACATCACATTCATTGTAACAAAGAAGTTGTCTAGCCATAGAATTATCTCCCTTTTTTACACTTCAATTTGTTTATCCTCTGAAGGGTTATAGATGCTTACCACAATGATGAATTACATGCGTATGGTGCAGGCAAACCGAGATTTGAACCAAGAATAATTGACTTCTGTTAAGACAAGGGTATGCAACACTAAACAATATACCTTTAACAACCGATTAGAGGGCAAATCACAGGGCCCTTTGTGAAAAACATTAACAGATTTAAGACGTGTGCAAGACGAACCCTTTGCTCCAGCATGTTGAATCTCCCGAGAGACAGCATGACGAACACGAAGACAATGCTGAATCCAGCAGACAGAAGCTGTGTGTCCTTGTTGATGGCGCCGTAACCTTCATCATCAAAACTACAACAGAAATGGTTGCACACACTAAATTTCTGTAGACCTAACACCCTAATATTCTGATAAGGTGTCACTATGAACCATTTCACATTGATCAGTTTATTGACACAGATCACGAACTGAAAATTAAAAATGAAAGATAAGCTTGACCATACGCCATGTATAATAACTAGCAACATATTCACATGCACCCTGTTTAATTATGGATGAGGTGTTCACATACACCCCGTTTCATAATGTGCGAAGCGTTCACATACATCCATTTAATCATGTGTGAGGTGTATAATTACCAGTGAGGTGTACACTACGCCCTGTTTAATTATTGGTGAGGTGTTCACATACATCCATTTAATCATGTGTGAGGTGTATAATTACCAGTGAGGTGTTCACATACATCCATTTAATCATGTGTGAGGTGTATAATTACCAGTGAGGTGTACACTACACCCTGTTTAATTATTGGTGAGGTGTTCACATACATCCATTTAATCATGTGTGAGGTGTATAATTACCAGTGAGGTGTTCACATACATCCATTTAATCATGTGTGAGGTGTATAATTACCAGTGAGGTGTACACTACACCCTGTTTAATTATTGGTGAGGTGTTCACATACATCCATTTAATCATGTGTGAGGTGTATAATTACCAGTGAGGTGTTCACATACATCCATTTAATCATGTGTGAGGTGTATAATTACCAGTGAGGTGTTCACATACATCCATTTAATCATGTGTGAGGTGTATAATTACCAGTGAAGTGTACACTACACCCTGTACTTTTGTTCACATACACTCACACTGTTAACTGTGGAAAGTGTTCACATACACTCACACTGTTAACTGTGGAAAGTGTTCACATACACTCACACTGTTAACTGTGGAAAGTGTTCACATACACTCACACTGTTAACTGTGGAAAGTGTTCACATACACTCACACTGTTAACTGTGGAAAGTGTTCACATACACCCTGTACTGTTATCTGTGAGAAGGACCCGTGAAGGTCCAGGTTAGAATGAACCTTCGGTAACCCATGCTTGTAGTAAGAGGTGACTAACTGGATGGGGTGGTCAGGCTTGCTGACTTGGTTGACACATGTCATCGGCTCCCAATTGCGCAGGTTGATGCTTATACAGTTGATCGCTGGATTGTCTGGTCCAGACTCCATTATCTACAGACTGCTGCCATATAGCTGGAATATTGCTGTGTGCGGCGTAAAACTAAACTCACTCACTCACTCACTGTCTGTGAGAAGGATATACACCCACTCTATAGCATTACCTGCGAGAAGCGTAGATATACACCTCCAGGGTCTGCACGATGCCCTGGCGAGCCAGCTTGATCACCTCCAGCTCCCATGCCTTAACTGCCTCTAGAATCTGAAACATAGTGTCACAGTGTAGGTGCATCACAGAATCACATCTCCCCTCCCTGACGACCCAAACCCCCAAACATACACAACCTGTCTGCTCAAACCCGCAGACCGCCTCCGTGGTGTAGTTAGTTAGAGCGTCCGCCCAGAGAGCGGAAGGTCGCGGTATCGATCCCGACTGCGTCATACCAAAAGACGTTAAAATATGGTACTTGTTGGTCCCTGCCTGGCGCTCGGCATTAACGGGTACAACAAGGACTGGTCGGCTCGAAGTCAGTATAATGTGTCTGAGCGGGGTATTCATGCTTCACTGCGGCATGGTATCTCAGTGGGCTAGCACTATAAAACCAGCTTATGTCTGGGCTAGTACAAGCAGCCGCACATACACATTCACACGCATGCACGTCGTCATATGAGCGAAATATTTTCAAGCACGACGTTAAACCCAATTTCACCTCACCTCACCTCAAACCCGCACACCCAAACCTGCACACAACCCTATGTCACTCCATTCTTTACCTCCCTCCACATTTCCAATCTCAGTCTCGCCCAAACGTTTACCTCATCATCCTTCCTGAGGACCCAGGTGATCTGAGTAGCGGTGGCGTCCTCAATGTCCCCTCCCTGTCCTCTATGTACGGTCCCTCCAAGCATGTTGGACACATCGAAATCTGTGCCATACACAGGGCTGTAACAGTATCATAGCACCTGTGTACATTATGGTTCTAAATTGTCACATTATCACTGCATATGTATAACATATAGCTACAAAAACATAGACTATATAGCTTACAGTGTATTTCAATATATACTGTGTCATGGCACGCAAATGAAGGACTTTTTCAATACCTGATGGCTAAGTAGCAGTAACTTTAAAAAGGTTTTTAAGGAATACAAATAATCATGATAAAGCTGCAAAAGTATACAATAATGCAACAAATTTATACAATATGACTTTGAGTGTACAATATGGCTGCAGAATGCGAGGAATATTATACAATTATAGACTGGTGATGAGGTCAATACCGGTGTAACAGGCCAGAGTATACCCCTGTCCCAGATTATTCCCCGGGGTTAAACTGGGCTAGCCCAGACTATACCCCAGGTATAATCTGGTTAGCCTAGTTTATACCCCGGGGTATATTCTGAAATAGGCCATAGTATACCCCCCTAGCCAAGATTATACCCCTTCGCCGAGGTTATACGATTATCCGTCTGGAAATGGTCCATGAGTGAGTCATAAAAACAGGTATTGACCGAATTCGCCACTCTATAATTGTGTTATTATGTAATTACCGAAAAAAAGCTTCTAAAATAAAAAACATGTCAAGAAAAGTAATTTTATTTTCACTACAAACCTATAATGTTATGTCAACAAAACTACGACATGTAAACAACAGAATGACGTCATAGCTTGACGTAAATGACGTCATAGCTTGACGTCATAGTAACTCAGGTCAATGTGACTTTTGGTCGGACCTGGGTTGGAGTCAATATCCTTTTCTGTCGACGGTCACGTGACCGCCTCTAGACCAATCAGGTAGCCGGAAAAATATGCTTGCATAATATTCTATGATATTACTGCATATGTATACAATATCAGTGTAAATTAGTTTGAAATCATTTGAGTCATCAACATTATTTTGGCCTTACTATGTAACATGTAAGATTGAGAAACGCAAAAAAAGTACTGTATATTACCGTAGAAAGCCGAATTTTGAGGACCCCAAAAAGCGGTCTGTAGAAGGGGTCGGCTTATCTACAATAATATACAGTATGTCATAACTGCAGAAAAATCCTTTAAAACAGATTACTGGTTGAGTTGAATTAATTTTCTTTTAAAACTAAAGAACTGTAGACAACAAAGGAACGCAAATGTACCTCTTGTTGATGCTATTGACGGTCTGTAGGATCTTGCCGCGGGTCAGAGAACGGATGACAGTTTCATTGTAAGACCAAAGCTCCAATAAGCTTGTCACACGGCAGTGGTACCCAGTTGCTGTCCGAACACTGAAATTGTCATCATTGTCGAAACATGACATCCATTCAGCTATTACCTTAGCGTAAAACCTTAAGGTATTAAATTTATAAATCGTGTCAACTTGTTTGAATCCTGCACTTTAATTTTCCATTACACAGAACAAGTAAACATCCTGACGAATAATAATAGCAAAACATGGTTCATGTTTATTTGTATTTGTCAGCAAAACAAGCAGAGCGTTGTGGAAGGAGACACACCTGTAGCAGACATCTTGGTACCGCTTCCCTTCAACACTGATGTTGTTACACTTGCTATAGAAATCCAGCAACTGAAATACAAGTTAGTAGTCTTCATCAAAAAGATGGTATCAGTCAAAATTTCATTTGATACCACAGGAGTGAGTGAGTTTGGTTTTAGCTTTTAGCAATATTCCAGCAATATCTTGGCAGGGGACACCAGAAATATGCTTTATACATTGTACCCATGTCGGGAACTAAACCCAGGTCTTCGACGACGAGCGAACGCTTTAACCATTAGGCTACCCCACCACCCTCGATGCAATAAGGAAAAGGCAATACCTAAAAGGTGATCAGCTAAAAATAGAATTCTGGTCAAGCACTAAAAACCCAAACTTTTTTCATCATATTATTAGATAACCATGATTAAATGATGCCTTTATTCTGTAAAATTTCCATGCTTAAAACAATCTTATCAAATTCAGATCTTGTATCAGAAAGTTCAAACCCCTAAAAATCAAGTCCATGAAACAACAGCCACTTACAGCATTAAGGAATGGCTGTGTGAGTACATCTTTTCCTGTGACTATCATTGTCACATAGCGAGTTTCAGACGGGAAGTGTTTGTCCACCCATTTCTTCTCATTGACAATACGCGAGCTCTGAGGTACCCACAATGCAACTTGTTCCTCTGTTTGTTTGAACGTCTTCAGCCCGAGACCACACAACCCGCATGTTGTAAGGCAGAAGACAATCGTTATCCAAGGATGTTCACCAACAAACAGACCAACCCTGGAATAAACATGATAAAGTATATGATTCAGACATCATGGCTATTGTAATGAAATGTTCAAATCTCCAGCCACCAAATACTCCATCACATCTACAAACCCGCAAAAGTTCATCATATGTCAATTGAGTAACTTCTTTGAGTGGCATTTTAGAAGTAGGGAAGTACAATACAGAACAAACTTTATGGATAACAACTTCTTTTATACATGAGTGCGACGATTCTATACAGATTCTTGTACCGTTGTCACTCATGCTTAACAACGGTACAAGAATCTGTATCGAAACGTCGCACTCACAAATAAAAGAAGTTGTTATCCATAAAGTTTGTTCTATATTGTCCATTGAGTAGATATATGCTCATGCTGTTGACCACTGGATTGACTGGTCAGACTCGATTATTTACAGACTGACGTCACATAGCTGAAATGATGCTGAGTGCAGCGTTTAACAGCAACCAATGAACCAATTAACATTTGATAGACAAAAATCAAAGTTACAAATAATTTAATTACTGTTGCATTCCTCCCTGTGAGAACATAAACAGGAGAAACTACTAAACGTAAGTTGTTCTGGTAAATATTCATCAAGCTGCAGTTTAAAAAATCAAAATGTAACACATGTTATATTTGGGATTACACTTTCTAAGTAAAGTACAGATTCTAGTACTTTGTTGGGAATTGGTTGAAATTTCACAATTGATTATTGCTTCATTACCAACGAACAATCATCGAAAAAAATGGGTTAACGTAATTTTCCTATCCAGGTTGTTATTGCAGATATGTATAACATGATGCACCTTGCTACTTTAAAGTGATGACTTATATATCATGGACATAAACTTCCTGGAGTCTTCAAGAAATATTCAGTCATGACTTTTCAGTTAGTGAAGTGAGTTTTCTAAGAATTAAATACGTTTTCAGGCCCTGACAACTTCTAAGATATGTTCCATTGTCAAGTGTTGCAAAGACTAAAACAGTAGTTCCAAAATCGTTTAATATTGATTATGAGAAAATGTGATCAATTGCTTGGTCGTTTGGTCACTGCGACCAATCTTTGATTATTTCAATTAATCGGAACACCACTAGTTGAGTCCCATCCGGTTCTGGTGATTAGCTGCCTGACTCTGAGAGAGAGGGTTCGAATGGTTGGGACTGGGATTTAAATTACTGGAATCTCTACGTTACTAAAAGCGTATAATCCCAAATATAATATATGTTACATTTGACCATTTTCTTACGGGCACTGTATATTAAAAAAATGAAAATATTGCCCTCAAAAAGGAATCTAAATCTTGTGCTTCCCAATAAACCACACATGTACCAAACTACGCTACATACCCTTGGCCCCTAAAGGATTAACAAATCTTAGACAACTTTGGGTGTCCTCATAACTAGGAACAAGAACGTGAAGTTTCAGTTACTTTGGTTGAGTGGTGTCTGACTAGAAGAAGTTTACATTGTGAAGAGATGCATATTGAAATAAGCTAGGTGTGTTGTCCAAGAGACAATGCTGACTCAGCAAGATGGATATATAGGCCAGGACATAAGCTATATAACTTGTGTGGACTATAACAAACACATCACAACCCTGAGTTGAAAAACCCTTTTAGTTGAACATATTCACAAGTTACATTTCTACCTGTTTCTGATACTTCCCTAAATCTCATCTTCCCCAAAACATTACATGAAATGATGGATAAGTAAAATGAAACTAGCTAGGAAAGAAACATTTGAGTGAGTGAGTGAGTGAGTGAGTGAGTGAGTGAGTGAGTGAGCTGGTTTTTACGCAGATTTTAGCAATATTCCAGCAATATCACAACGGGGGGACACCACACATTGTACCCATGTGGGGGATCGAACCAAGATCTTTGGTGTGACGAGCGAACACTTTAACCACAACCCTACCACCCCTGATGGAAGGTAAAGAAGCTCACAATACAAATGCAATAGTACAAATGCCCCCAGTTGTTATCACTGGTGACTGTCTCTTGTTGATAAGACAACACAACTGCCAGTCTGGTCATATGAGTACATTATTCCCTTCTCCACCACTGTGCAGTATCTCTGTCCTGGGACAATGTTTCCTGGTGTGCGTCAAGCTATCTCCCCCAACACCACCAGCTGTCATCACCACCTGACTCCCTGATAACACTCTCCAACATGTTGGGTGATTCACACAACACGATAAAACATGGAAGTTAGTCAGTCTCTTCCCAGAGGCACAACTTTCATCAACCAAGGTGGCCTTGGAAACAGAACCTGTAAAAGTGCTCTCGTTAAAAACAACACCCTGGGCACCAAAATACAATGAATAGTTCTACCATTGTCAATGTCAACATTATTTAGTTCCTATGAATATGTATGTTGTATGAATAACAACAGATTCATAAGGAGACTAAATTTGATTGTTTCCGCATCAACCATTTCGTTTATTCAGTCAACTTCACATCATCTGAGTACAGTCTAAAAGCAATTGAGTATAATTTATAACTGGGTAGAGTCTATAACACACCACCAGGGTACAGTCTATAACACACCATCAGGGTACAGTCTATAACACACCATCTGGGTACAGTCTATAACACACCATCAGGGTACAGTCTATAACACACCATCAGGGTACAGTCTATAACACACCATCAGGGTACAGTCTATAACACACCATCTGGGTACAGTCTATAACACACCATCAGGGTACAGTCTATAACACACCATCAGGGTACAGTCTATAACACACCATCAGGGTACAGTCTATACACTATACACCATCAGGGTACAGTCTATAACACACCATCAGGGTATAGTCTATAACACACCATCTGGGTACAGTCTATAACACACCATCAGGGTACAGTCTATAACACACCATCAGGGTACAGTCTATAACACACCATCAGGGTACAGTCTATAACACACCATCAGGGTACAGTCTATAACACACCATCAGGGTACAGTCTATAACACACCATCAGGGTATTGTCTATAACACACCATCAGGGTACAGTCTATAACTATAACACACCATCAGGGTACAGTCTATAACACACCATAGTCTATAACACACCATCAGGGTACAGTCTATAACACACCATCAGGGTACAGTCTATAACACACCATCAGGGTACAGTCTATAACACACCAACAGGGTACAGTCTATCTATATACAATAACACACCACACCATCATGGGTACAGTCTATAACACACCATCAGGGTACAGTCTATAACACACCATCAGGGTACAGTCTATAACACACCATCAAGGTACAGTCTATAACACACCATCAGGATACAGTCTATAACACACCATCAGGGTGCAGTCTATAACACACCAACAGGGTACCGTCTATAACACACCATCTGGGTACAGTCTATAACACACCATCAGGGTACAGTCTATAACACACCATCAGGGTACAGTCTATAACACACCATCAGGGTACAGTCTATAACACACCATCAGGGTACAGTCTATAACACACCATCAGGGTATAGTCTATAACAAACCATCAGGGTACAGTCTATAATAACACACCATAACTATAGCACCACCATCAGGGTACAGTCTATAACACACCATCTAGGTACAGTCTATAACACACCAACAGGGTACAGTCTATAACACACCACCAGGGTACAGTCTATAACACACCATCAGGGTACAGTCCATATCACACCATCAGGGTACAGTCTATAACACACCACCAGAGTACAGTCTACAGCACACCATCTGGGTAATATTCTCACTCATATCTCATTCTGATATGTCCAATAATAATATGCATGTTTGTTCTATCACAGAATTGAAGCAGTGAAGATGGGTTCCTTGGAGAACAAATTAACAGGAGACAGTTCTCAGTTTATAACCAATCTGCACCTAACAAGCTATCAACAAAGCCATCTGGGCCACACGTTGTACATTCCAACTGATAAGCTGAAGATGAATCCACTCACAGAGATTACACTATCGTGACTTGTCTTTGTGTTTCAGTCACTGTGTCCACACACGCTTGTTGTCAGGACACAGACCCTGTCTCAGCTGGTCATGATACAGCAGGCATGTGCTGGTCTCACCAATGATATCAAGTAGAATCCTGCCCATTGTTTCGTTCTTGTTGATTTGTTAAAGACCTACGTGTACCCATGACAACAAATAGTTATACTCCATTTAAAAGCAAACTACTTTGGTGAGTTAAAAATCAGCCTTATTTAATAATAATGCTCATGCTGACTTTTCTACACATAGTGGTCTACATATAGTGGTTGGTATTGTTATCATCAAGTAATAAACTTGATAATTACAATACCAACAAGAATAATAATACTCATGATTCGAGGTATGTATTTATATTTTAATTGCAACTATGTAGGTGAAGAAAACCTTGCTTTTCCTTCACCTATACAACTTCTTTGTTTTCCTTCACCTATACAACTTCTTTGTTTTCCTTCACCTATACAACTTCTTTGTTTTCCTTCACCTATACAACTTCTTTGTTTTCCTTCACCTATACAACTTCTTTGTTTTCCTTCACCTATACAACTTCTTTGTTTTCCTTCACCTATACAACTTCTTTGTTTTCCTTCACCTATACAACTTCTTTGTTTTCCTTCACCTATACAACTTCTTTGTTTTCCTTCACTTATACAACTTCTTTGTTTTCCTTCACCTATACAACTTCTTTGTTTTCCTTCACCTATACAACTTCTTTGTTTTCCTTCACCTATACAACTTCTTTGTTTTCCTTCACCTATACAACTTTCTTTGTTTTCCTTCACCTATACAACTTCTTTGTTTTTCCTTCACCTATACAACTTCTTTGTTTTCCTTCACCTATACAACTTCTTTGTTTTCCTTCACTTATACAACTTCTTTGTTTTCCTTCACCTATACAACTTCTTTTGTTTTCCTTCACCTATACAACTTCTTTGTTTTCCTTCACCTATACAACTTTTGTTTTCCTTCACCTATACAACTTCTTTGTTTCCTTCACCTATACAACTTCTTTGTTTTCCTTCACCTATACAACTTCTTTGTTTTCCTTCACCTATACAACTTCTTTGTTTTCCTTCACCTATACAACTTCTTTGTTTTTCCTTCACCTATACAACTTCTTTGTTTTCCTTCACCTATACAACTTCTTTGTTTTCCTTCACCTATACAACTTCTTTGTTTTCCTTCACTTATACAACTTCTTTGTTTTCCTTCACCTATACAACTTCTTTGTTTTCCTTCACCTATACAACTTCTTTGTTTTCCTTCACCTATACAACTTCTTTGTTTTCCTTCACTTATACAACTTCTTTGTTTTCCTTCACCTATACAACTTCTTTGTTTTCCTTCACCTATACAACTTCTTTGTTTTCCTTCACCTATACAACTTCTTTGTTTTCCTTCACCTATACAACTTCTTTGTTTCCTTCACCCTATACAACTTTGTTTCCTTCCTCCTTCACCTATACAACTTCTTTTTTTTCCTTCACTTATACAACTTCTTTGTTTTCCTTCACCTATACAACTTCTTTGTTTTCCTTCACCTATACAACTTCTTTGTTTCCTTCCTTCTTCTTTGTTTCCTTCACCTATACAACTTCTTTGTTTTCCTTCACTTATACAACTTCTTTGTTTTCCTTCACCTATACAACTTCTTTGTTTTCCTTCACCTTTTCTCCTTCACCTATACAACTTCTTTGTTTTCCTTCACCTATACAACTTCTTTGTTTTCCTTCACCTATACAACTTCTTTGTTTTCCTTCACCTATACAACTTCTTTGTTTTCCTTCACTTATACAACTTCTTTGTTTTCCTTCACCTATACAACTTCTTTGTTTTCCTTCACCTATACAACTTCTTTGTTTTCCTTCACCTATACAACTTCTTTGTTTTCCTTCACCTATACAACTTCTTTGTTTTTTCCTTCTCACTTATACAACTTCTTTTGTTTTCCTCCTTTCTTCTTTGTTTCCTTCACTTATACAACTTCTTTGTTTCCTTCACCTATACAACTTCTTCTTTGTTTTCCTTCACCTATACAACTTCTTTGTTTTCCTTCACCTATACAACTTCTTTGTTTTCCTTCACCTATACAACTTCTTTGTTTCCTTCCTTTATACAACTTCTTTGTTTTCCTTCACCTATACAACTTCTTTGTTTTCCTTCACTCTGGCTATCTTTCTTTGTTTTCCTTTCACACCTATACAACTTTCTTTGTTTTTTCCTTCACCTATACTACAACTTCTTTGTTTTCCTTCACCTATACAACTTCTTTGTTTTCCTTCACCTATACAACTTCTTTGTTTTCCTTCACCTATACAACTTCTTTGTTTTCCTTCACTTATACTAACTTCTTTGTTTTCCTTCACCTATACAACTTCTTTGTTTTCCTTCACCTATACAACTTCTTTGTTTTCCTTCACCTATACAACTTCTTTGTTTTCCTTCACCTATACAACTTCTTTGTTTTCCTTCACCTATACAACTTCTTTGTTTTCCTTCACCTATACAACTTCTTTGTTTTCCTTCACCTATACAACTTCTTTGTTTTTCCTTCACTTATACAACTTCTTTGTTTTCCTTCACCTATACAACTTCTTTGTTTTTCCTTCACCTATACTAACTTCTTTGTTTCCTTCACCTATACAACTTCTTTGTTTTCCTTCACCTATACAACTTCTTTGTTTTTCCTTATACAGCTTCTTTGTTTCCTTCACCTATACAACTTCTTTGTTTTCCTTCACCTATACAACTTCTTTGTTTTCCTTCACCTATACAACTTCTTTGTTTCCTTTCACTTATACAACTTCTTTGTTTTCCTTCACCTATACAACTTCTTTGTTTTCCTTCACCTATACAACTTCTTTGTTTTCCTTCACCCTATACAACTTCTTTTGTTTTCCTTCACCTATACAACTTCTTTGTTTTCCTTCACCTATACAACTTCTTTGTTTTTCCTTCATATACAACTTCTTTGTTTCCTTCACCTATACAACTTCTTTGTTTTCCTTCACCTTATACAACTTCTTTGTTTTCCTTCACCTATACAACTTCTTTGTTTTCCTTCACCTATACAACTTCTTTGTTTTCCTTCACCTTATACAACTTCTTTGTTTTCCTTCACCTATACAACTTCTTTGTTTTCCTTCACTTATACAACTTCTTTGTTTTCCTTCACCTATACAACTTCTTTGTTTTCCTTCACCTATACAACTTCTTTGTTTCCTTCACCTATACAACTTCTTTGTTTCCTTCACCTATACAACTTCTTTGTTTTCCTTCACCTATACAACTTCTTTGTTTTCCTTCACCTATACAACTTCTTTGTTTTCCTTCTATACAACTTCTTTTTTTTCCTTCACCTATACAACTTCTTTGTTTCCTTTCACCTATACAACTTCTTTGTTTCCTTCACCTATACAACTTCTTTGTTTTCCTTCACTTATACAACTTCTTTGTTTCCTTTTACAACTTCTTTGTTTTCCCTATACAACTTCTTTGTTTCCTTCCTTATACAACTTCTTTGTTTCCTTCACCTATACAACTTCTTTGTTTTCCTTCACCTATACAACTTCTTTGTTTCCTTCACCTATATACAACTTCTTTGTTTTCCTTCACCTATACAACTTCTTTGTTTTTCCTTCACCTATACAACTTCTTTGTTTTCCTTCACCTATTCAGCTTTTGTTTCCTTCTTCTTATCTTTTGTGTTTCCTTCACTTATACAACTTCTTTGTTTTCCTTCACCTATACAACTTCTTTGTTTTCCTTCACCTATACAACTTCTTTGTTTTCCTTCACCTATACAACTTCTTTGTTTCCTTCTATACAACTTCTTTGTTTTCCTTCACCTATACAACTTCTTTGTTTTTCCTTCACCTATACAACTTCTTTGTTTCCTTCACTTATACAACTTCTTTGTTTTCCTTCACCTTATACAACTTCTTTGTTTTCCTTCATATACAACTTCTTTTGTTTTCCTTCACTTATACAACTTCTTTGTTTTCCTTCCTTATACAACTTCTTTGTTTTTCCTTCCTTATACAACTCTTCTTTGTTTTCCTTCACCTATACAACTTCTTTGTTTTCCTTCACCTATACAACTTCTTTGTTTTCCTTCACCTATACAACTTCTTTGTTTTCCTTCACTTATACAACTTCTTTGTTTTCCTTCACTTATACAACTTCTTTGTTTTCCTTCACCTATACAACTTCTTTGTTTTCCTTCACCTATACAACTTCTTTGTTTTCCTTCACCTATACAACTTCTTTGTTTTCCTTCACCTATACAACTTCTTTGTTTTTTCCTTCACCTATACAACTTCTTTGTTTTCCTTCACCTATACAACTTCTTTGTTTTCCTTCACCTATACAACTTCTTTGTTTTCCTTCACCTATACAACTTCTTTGTTTTCCTTCACCTATACAACTTCTTTGTTTTCCTTCACTTATACAACTTCTTTGTTTTCCTTCACCATACAACTTCTTTGTTTTCCTTCACTTATACAACTTCTTTGTTTTCCTTCACCATACAACTTCTTTGTTTTCCTTCACTTATACAACTTCTTTGTTTTCCTTCACCTATACAACTTCTTTGTTTTCCTTCACTTATACAACTTCTTTGTTTTCCTTCACCTATACAACTTCTTTGTTTTCGTTCACCTATACAACTTCTTTGTTTTCCTTCACCTATACAACTTCTAAAATGTCTCTCAGAGAAACTATGTAGGTCACAAATCTTTAAACCTAAGGTAATCTATTCGTCACCAGTAGAGGAAAACTGTAGTATGCCGTGTGTTATGTTTTCAGCCAAATAATCTGTTCAGCATGATGTCATTGATCTCATGTTTGTGCGGCTTTTCATGAAGTTAGTTCCCATAACACTGGCTATATATGTGGGACACTTAATTCTGAAAAGAATATTTATGTATATGCATGTTTATTGTGTTGCTTTCATATCAAAAGACAACAATGGCCTGGAATCATTCAAGCGTTTGTGCATCGGTGTCACCAGTAATCTCAAGGCATAAAACTTGGCCTTTTAAATAGCTTTTCACATGTACACAAGTAGCCTGCTTCTGAAGTTAGAATTAAATATCCACATTTCAACAGTTAATCATGACTGGCCATGCCTACACAAAAGAAACTATCGCCATGTTATGGTACCATTTTCAGTTGAAGAGTGAGTGAGTGAGTGAGTGAGTGGGAGGGCATGAGAGTGAGTGAGTGAGTGGTGAGTAAATGCAAGTGTACTAAACATTAATGACCAGAAATGCAAGTGTTTGACTAAACATTAATGACCAGAGAGGGGTGTTTGACCAGAGAGGGGTGTTTGACCAGAGAGGGGTGTTTGACTAGAGAGGGGTGTTTGACTAGAGAGAGGTGTTTGACTAGAGAGGGGTGTTTGACTAGAGAGGGGTACCAACACTATAGTGACCACTGATGGGTGTGCTAAGATTAGATGGATACTATACCATTAAAACAAACTAAAGGAAAAGAGGCATGAAGTGAAAGCTACAGTAACCCTGTAAACCGTATTGTTGTTATAAATGTTTGTGGACCTTTAAGTTCCGAGAAGTTCCTCACTCACCTGTAAAATGCAGATTCCAGTGCCCAAATGATACCATTACTAGCCCGTTTTAAGCATGATGGTTTCTTCAGAGGATTCGGTGTCCTTGATGGAGTATCATCAATGGTGAAATGAGCTGGTGATTGAACAGTATCCGCCATGTCTTCGCAGAATGAAAATACACCCAATGACTTTGTTTGATCTTTGGAATCAATCAACTGACAGCTAATGATTAAACGACCTCCTGTTTTCCCAGAGTAAGGTCAAGGTGTCATTATCTATATAGTGAGTGAATGAATAAAAGATGAAAGAGTTATTGCACTTCTTGAGACTATCCTGATGACAGCCATTGTCGACTGTGTCAGGAAACACTACCTTCCGACCTCAGTCATCATTGAATCGACAGATAAACATTTCTTTCCAACACCGCTCTGTGTTCCAAGGGAGATTACTCTTGTCAAAATCAGTCTTTGCATACCACAAAATTAAAATATCCTCTTCCCCTTGGAATGTCATTGTTCGACGTGGACGGAAATAATGAGATAATACGACCTTTGCTTATGAATACAATGGAAGCATTGTCTATTAACGTTAATATAGACGACCATTTTGTAAACAGAAAAACACAAAATATAAACTGTAGACAATGCGTATCTGATTACGGGTCACTAATATAGAACAATTCTAATGAACCAGGAAATCGTTCATCATATTTTCGGAGAGTGATAATATACTTTAAAACTGGCGAATGGGCGGTAATTAACTTTTAAATATAAATTTACAGCGAGTGAATATGGTGTTAAACCACCTTAAGCAATATTCTAGAAATATTCACTGGGAAAGGTCAAGGTATATCTGGAGAGCAGGAGAATGGTCTGTTGAACATTATTTTATATTGGTTATTGTCAGTCGATCTTAGATACATTGTGATCACATCGTGATATATTAACTTTCTGCAGAAACAGACTTAGATATGGGTATAGATAATCCATGTAATGTAAAAGCCTGTAACTTAATTTATGCAGCTTTTCTGCATAAAATAAACTTTCTTCAGATTTAAAAAATAAGATAATAACATGATAATATATTTAATTAATATATATAAACTACCAATGATGTTTTATAGATGTTTATATCACACCTTTAACATGGTTCTTCATACTGGTGCTTTTCCAGAAAAATGGTAGGGTACCGGTGTTACCAAACGAATGTTTACAAACAAAGGGAAACTATTTAACTGACAGAGTATGGTTTTACGCCGGTTTTTTGCAATATTCCAGCAATATCCCGGCGGGGGACACCAGAAATGGGCTTCACAAATTGTACCCATGTGGGCCTTCGGCGTGAGGAGCGAACGCTTTAACCACTAGGCTACCTCACCGCCCCTTGGAACTATTTAAAGCAATGAAACATGAGATAGTTTGTGCGTTTTCAGAAAGCATTTGGCACACTTTGTCGATCAGAAAGGGCTTTCACACATGAATAACTGGAGGTTTAGGATTAATATAATTGAAACTAAAATATTTACATTTGGATGATCAAATCACGATCGTAAGTGTAAGTTCAAAATTTGTCTTGATGTTTGAAAAATGTTGATTCCAGTGCAATGAGCTCTTTGGCTTTACATTTAATATAATTAATTTACAATAGCACAGCAAAAGATATAAACAACGAAAGATTTGCCTTTTGCCATGGACGGAGAGAGAATGTCAGTCGCGGCTTTTCGACAATATAGCTATACCAGATTTTTTCTTGGGATGAGTGAGTGAGTGACTTTAGTGTTATCGGGTTTAACGTCATACTTAGGAATATTTCGCTCATATGAAGACGTGCATGCGTGTCTGCTTGTACTAGCCCAGACTTAAGCTGGTTTTATAGTGCTAGCTCACTGAGATACCATGCCGCAGTGAAGCATGAATACCCCACTCAGACACATTATACTGACTCCGAGCCGACCAGTCCTTGTTGTACCCATTAATGCCGAGCGCCAGGCAGGGACCAACAAGTACCATATTTTAACGGGTATGTTCTCATTTCGCCTACATCCCAATTCGCCTACAGTCTTAAAACAACATGTCATGGTCTGTTGACTGTTGATTACGCAATGGTGAACTAGTGGCACCCCCATGATCTAAAAGTGGACTCTTCTAGTTGAAGTAGTCGAAGGACAAAAAGAATTTATTTATTTCTGTTACTTGTCATTTTCTGATCACAGTGAAATGATAATTTATTTATCACATCATCTTCTAGTTGAAGTAGTTGAAGGACAAAAAGAAAGTTTTTTTAAAGAATTTATTTCTGTTATTTGTCTGTTACTTATTTATTCTATTATTTGTCATTTTCCGATCACAATCGGGACATTGTCCATTCTCACTTGAACTTGATAAGGTGACCAGCTGCGTCGAGGAATTGAAGGGGTGATCTTCTCCCAGAAGCAAGTTGCTCTTTTATTTTAACCCTGTTTTAACTTCTCAGTGGATGCACTAATCCTGTTTACTCACTACATATCCTTATAACAACAGTCAATCAAGACTCAGTGAGTCAGGTTCATTATAAGAGTAGGGGTGCATTCTCTAATCCCAATTCGCCTACATTGTTTTTGTAGGCGAATTAAGATGTAGGCGAATAGAGACTAAACCATTTTAACGTCTTTTGGTATGACGCGGTCGGGGATAGAACACCCGCGGCCTTCCGCTTTCCGGGCGGACGCTCTAACCACAAACAGGTAATTATAAATGGATACATTACTAAGGATTGGTAAATTCAATAGAAATGTCAACATTGAAGTCCCTTTTGAAAATTCCTGGATCCGCATATGGACTATATTTAGATCCATCGGCAATTCAGACCAATCTATTCATCTATTATTTGGTTACAGTGACAACAAATACGCAGTGCATTGGCAGAATGTTTGCGATAACTTATCACTTTCATGACATAGTACAGTATCATACACGAGATAAGTACCGCGTATGAATGCCAATCAACACGACAGTTTGTAAAATACTTTTAGACCCATAAGTTGAAACGGATATTTAAAATTATAAAAAATAAACAAGAATAAATCATAAAATGTATTTGAAATATATGTGCTTTTATAAAAAAACCGCTTTCTTTAAAATGTGCCGTGGCCGTTGCACAACGTATTCAGGAAAGAAACATTGAAAACATCTGTATCACCGTCTCTTATACCGCAGTAATACGAAGCGCCAAGAGAGCCGGTTTGGTTTGGTTTGGTTTGGTTTGGTTAGGCCTCAGCAGTAGGCCTATTCTAATCAAGCTATAGATGGCTGTAGATATTCGAGTCCGGACCACACAATTCAGTGATCAACAGCATGAGCGTCGATCTACGCAGTTATAGGATACGATGACATGTGTCAACAATAAATTCGGCGAGCCTGACCACCCGATCCGATAGTCGCCTCTTACGACAAGCATGGATTGCTGAACCCGTATCTTCACGGGTGTGTCCAAGTGTTGGTAAACATCACATTGGAAATTCATGACCTTGTTATTCACTTTGCGTTTTTATATTCTCGAGGTCGTTTTAAATGCCTGCTCAGGTTCAGAAAACAAACGTCCTTTACTGCAGGTTTCGCTCCTACTCCTTTGCGTCGTACAGTACGATATGAGAGACGGGGCCCAGCTTACACAGGGCCGGCATGTGCCGGTGCCAGTTCACTAAAAAACGTTGTGATCTCGCGAGGGCGTCTCCATGGAGACTGTTTACAAACGACGCCATTGTTGTTTAGCATCAGCTTTGCAAAATTCAAGTCTCTGCTACAAGTTTGCGATTTGATCCACACTTGGTTGACCACTTTACACCATGTTTACGAGCGTTGCAAGTGTTTACCACCAAGGTACATTATTTAGGTCTTTAAAGCTCAATTTGGTGTTTATATACAGCATACATTCCATAATATGTATAACTGCCTATGGCGGACGATCAACAATCTTGATGAAATTTGGATGCAAATCATATAAAATACATAAGTGTCATTTGACAGAATACCGGATACCTACCAGCCATAATGTTTAGTGTCACGTGCACTTCCATTATAGGGAAACACGAGCTATAAACTTCGAAAAAATAAAGGAGCATCAAAATAAAAATTATCCATTAAAATCGGAAATCGTTTTCTGTAGTCTTTCTTTGAAATCCTTTACATGAGATAACACTTAGCAGCAACACGGAGGCATGAATTTGTGAGTTGTATATAGAACCTAACTTCAATGGGCTGTTGAAAATATAGTTGACTCATATTTTATTTGAAGTTAGATCTGTTTCACGATCTCACATCAGTTCTTCATAAATACGTTTTACATTGGTTTGTTCACCATTTCCCTCGGCAGCTCGGGAAGAGTTGAGAAAGTCTCAGCGACCTACCATTGCTGCCTCCCTCTCCGACCATCCTGTCCCTCTCCCAGTATGTCGTTTAGGGAGTTTGATTTACTTTTTACCTTGATTTAAAACCGTTGGTTGTGACTGATATGAAGTTGTCTGACTCTATTTTAGATGTTGAACTATTCATTAAATTAACTTAGAAAATAAAGAAATAACACACATAACTAGTCAAGATTACTGATGAGAAGCAGTAGACTTTGACATGTACTTTCAAGAAAATCATTACATTAGCCACATTTCACACATCTTCTGTCCCTGTTGTACACTGCCTTTCTTTCCTCTCTAAGCTGTCAACTCCTGAAGTTGATTCCCCACCCATCACCCAGACCCCTCTCCCTAACCCTGCCCCTCGGTCACTGTGTGGTTCCCCTAAAAACTTGGCGCAGGACATCCCTGAGATAGACTTGGGAGATCCCACAACAGCATATGCAGTTCTTTCCTCCATGAACCTGGAGCAGGACATCCCTGAGATAGACTTGGGAGATCCCACAGAACCATTTGCAGTACAGCCTGTAAAAACAGAATCCTATATCCTGATTGATGTGAGCAATCTGCAAGAACCAAGTCAGCCACAGTCATTTGAGACAACATGCTGCTGCAGTGTGTTCAGCGTCATCAAGAGACTGTTCAGTCTGTACTAGAGGACATGTGATGTGGCTTGAACAATTTGAACATTTACATAATTGTGAAAATCTAAAGAACATTATGTGCCTATTTTGGACTATTTCAAGACTTGAACTTTGAAGCAAAATGAAATTAAATAATAAAAGTAAATATTTCCATGAATCTGATTTTGTTGTTTAATTAACATTAGTGTGTGTCTGTGTGTGTGTGTTGCAATTGGACATAAACGTTGATGGGGAAAAAGGTTATACAATAATGGCTTACAATAAACTTGTAGAATAAATTGAACAAGGCAGACCTACAATGATGTAGGTGATGCTTTTAACTATTACTTAAGAAAAACTTAATGTTTTCTTATAATGTATAAACTTAATGCTTAATATAACATAACAAATTTACATTGTTAGT